CTCCGTTTAAGAAATGATATGCAGAGATGGCGTGAATTTCAATTTTCGCCGGCCTTTTCCGCTTTTCTTGCGCTGTGTGGAATGCCGCGGCGTAGTGAGCGCGAAAAATTTAAATTGAAAATGCAAAATGCTCATATGCAATTTGTTTGGAAGAAAAGCTGGGGGGGCTTTGGCTCTTTTTACAGTTTGCCGGGCATAAAAATCCACGACGGTCTACATTGTTGTCAGTTTGTAGTTTTGGCTACAATCGTTTGCTTTACGACCACACCCACCCACACACACACACACACACGCACATACACACACACACAAGCTCATGCAGGCAGGACAAGAGCATTTGGCATTTTATGCGAAATGTTTCCCCGGCGAAGGAGCCGTCGGGATTCGGCATTATAGTTGTATGAGATCCCGGCCCTCCTTTTGATACCAATTCCAACTTCGGCTGCGAATTCCCGCCATTCCACTCTTTCGCCTGGCTTTAAAATTAAGTTTACATTTTTAATGGGCAAAAGTCCCTGCCCTTTGGCTTTGCAACTGCGTCAGTTTTATGTTTGCCAACTTTAATGGTCATGACTTTCGGTACTCTGCTCGCAAGTTGATAGTCAGCATGAGCAATAGTGGAAAAAGACATACTGAACAGGAGTATGTGGCAAATAAGTCATATCATATGGCAAATGATGGCAGCGTAAAGTACGTCACTTGGATAAGGACTCCGCAAGGGATTTTGATTAAGTTCAGGGATGTGGAACAGGATGTTGGAGTAGCTGCCGGGAAGTGGACAATTTCTGCGTTGTAATCCGTTTCTTGCATCACAATTTCGAGCATAAACTGTAATTTAGTCAATTCATTCTGACATATTTGAATTTTTATGGATTCATTAACTGCGTTGTTGCACTTTTATGTTTCATATCCATATATCTCACACCCATTGCAATTGCTTTCTTGCATTCATGTTCAGTAATTTCCTTTAAGACTTCTATTTTTTAATGGGGCATGCAACCCACTTTGATCCTTGGAAGTAATTCCTTTATAACTATCTAGAAGGATTGTTGATCAAAGCAATCATTCCTCAGGCTTCGACTGCATAAGTCGATGCTGAAGAATCTTCTTTTTGATTAATTGGCTTAGCTGAAGCCCAATTATATGCTACTCATACGCCGCGTTGCCAGCGGCGACATTTGTCAGGGCGTGTAATCAAAGTCCGTACTTCTCTAGCCCCCCTCGCATACCAAAACTCAATGGAGTCGCGTTGGCCAAATCACGTTGCAATTGCCACAGAGCGCAAACGAGAGGAGAAACGAGACTCATTAGAGCGAAGCGTGATGCGTGACACCAACTTTAAATTGTGCAAAGACAGGCGACAGGACCTCTGTCCTTTCCCCGCGTCCTCGACTCCTTCGCCGGCCGCCGACCACTCCCATTTCCATCACATTGCAGCGTAATCTTGGCCATTACTCAAAAAGTAGCTTCTCACGTAGACTGCGAGTGAAAGCAGAGCGGAAAAAATGGCAGCCATCGCTACACCTGAGAAAATTTTCGATTTTCAATTCACTTGGCCCGCAAATTGGTGTTGCTTGAATATTAGGATATTATTTAATAGTTAATGCTGCGTGTGCTGAAGTCCTTTCTCCAACCATCAAAATAAATATTGTTCATCAAATATATTCAATCAAATGAGCCAATGGACCTCTTTTTAGTCGCTATCTGACCAAGAAAGTGTACTGAAAACTAATCAGATTTAAATAAATTGCTTAGTAGTTACTGGACATATTTACGGGTTTTGCAGACTGCATTGCATATGCCAAATTTACTTCAGACCTCGGCTGGCTGCGCTCCACTTTCTGATGGTGTAGATGGCGCTCTGCGGGTGACACTCGTAGTCTGTTTGTGTTTGTGTTGCCGTTTTGCCGGTGGCGCCTCCCCTGCTCTTTGCGCACCCACGCGGCGCCACGCCCCTCGGCCTTACGCCTCTGTCATTGCCACAGACGCGTGGATGCCGCCTTTGAAATCGGGATCCTCTGGAAGTCCCTGTCCCCCGTGCTCCTCTAATGGCTTTGTTATGCTAATTTCCCGACGCCTGCTGGCCATTGGAGTCGCCTTGTGTCCCTCGGCCCAGCCGGCTTTGATCCTGTTTCTTATTAATTTAATTATAAATATTATTCTTTTTTACGTTTCCTGCTTTTTGTTGGTCTTGTTGGTGGCAACTGCTGAATAACAGGAAATGGAGAACATTCAAATGTAAATATTTGCACAGTGATTTGTAGTGATTTTTTGGGACAAAGATTTTTAATTTCAGTTAAATGTGCTCTGGGAAGCGGAAAAGGGCAATATTAGTGCATAATTAGTACATATTAGTTTAGTATGCACTAATTCAATATTATTGTGCTAACCACCCGGTATAATTATAATCATGCTGGTCAGCGGTATACAGATTTCACAACTTTTTCACCAAATGCCAATGGAAAAAAAAGGACAAAATATGAAAGCCAAGCAAGCACTTCATTGTATACCAAACTATTGATATCCGATACCCATTTTCTGTGCTCTACGGCACTCACTTTTCTGACCCAGATGCGTTTATTTACTGATGTAAGACCGAAGAACATAGTTATTATGGACTTACCATTCGTCCTCACTTTCTTGCAGAAAAAGTGAAACTCTGTCATTTGGTGAAAGGGACTTAGCTGAAAAGCCTTCATAAGCGTCGCATAAATTCTTTGTCAATTGTGGCAAATTCTTAGCCATCAAGTTGGCCAACCGTCCTGTAGTTTTGTCCTTTTCAGTTTCATCCCGTTCTTCTCTATTTCTTCCTTTCTAATTGTGCCATGTGTGTCCAGGCTTCCAAGCCTTCAAGTTGTAACTAGAATTTGATTGTGCCGAGAAATGCGAGTGCATTGATTGGATTAGCTCGAGAAAAGCTGACTGCATGTGGCCATAAATGAAATGGAAGACCTTTAAGCCAGGAAAAGCTGCAGATGCAGATGGCCAACAGTGGCATTGGTAAAATTGGGAAATCTTTTTACTTGTGGCCTTCGGAAAGTGAAAGGATAGGAGACTGGATAAATGGGTATATTCCCAATTTACTTCACCAGCCAAGCAAATTAAATTGAAAACAGAGAGAAATCATAATGCGCAAACTACATAAGTAGCAAACCATTTAGAATATTGTTACGAGAATATCGATTTATTTTAAATGTTTTATAAGATCAAAGGCCACATATCTAGCACACACATTTATTTTGTACTATGTATATTTTTTTTCTTTAGAATACTAGTTGATATTATTAATTTATAAAGACCCCCATTAGCCAACTTAATGGCTTTAGTACGTTGAGTATTAAACTATGTATTATGCACATTTTTTAATGTTTTTTCAATGTTGTTGGTGTTATTGTGCCTTGTATTTATTCAAGTATTATTCTGGAACTCTTTTTTCGGTGTCTTTTCCTTGGAGCTTCTTCCATTGTTGCTTTCCTCCGGGCTCCTTTGGCCTGCTTTTTGGTCCTGTTTGCAGGCATGTGGCTAAGGAATGGCTTACAAGCCGCTTCCCTGTTTTTTCCTGGCCATCCTTTTGGCCTCAGGGGCGACGGTGCTGCATCCGATTATCTTACGACTTTCCTTCGTCTCCTTCCTTATATCTGATTATTATCCTTCTAGCTCGGGAACTGCCTCATTCACGACGTACAGCTGCTTGTAAATGCATTCTTAAGCTCAATCAAACAGGACGTTGGGCGAATATGCATTGAATTAAGTGGGCGAAATTCGTATTTTTGCGGCTCCTGGGCTGAAGCGGCAGCAGAGTCTTATAATTAAAACACTCTGAGCCCGGAATCCCTTATGTCCATAGGTGCATTCCTCTGCAGAATTTAAATGTCCCTTCACCCGAGTGCTTGCGTGTGTGCGCTCGACGTTCAAGTGAAACTTTAGACATAAAAGCCAGACCGGTCGGAATTCTTTTTCTGTGTCCACCCTTCCGGGCCGCATTGTTGTTACTGGCTAAAGCCGTGCAGACATTTGGACCTAACTACTTGAAGTTTTATGCCCCGTTTCCTTACTTATTTTTCCCTTTTTTCCTGGGAGGAAACTCATGGGAGGACTTTATGGCGCATACGTGTGGGTTCCTTTGGGCGCATATTGAAAACCCAGCATTGTTATGACTTTGAAACAAGCTGAGGGCGAAAGCACATTTTCTTCTTAGCCCTCAACCTAATGGCAGGTGCCAGGAAAATAAGAGGCTGCAAAAAGCGAGCGTGAATAAAACTGTTATCGGTCTGCGTGCTCAAAAGCGCACTTGATTGCTCAAATCCTTTGTGTATCCCCTTCTAAGCCTTTTGTTTTCCATTATGCGCCGGAAGTGTTGTAAACACTTCAGCGCAGGACACCACCAAAGCCAAAGCCACACCAACAATAACAGTACCCCGGGAGCAACTAAAAGGGAAGGAAAGTCCAAGTCCAAGACGACGTCTCAAGCGGCACTTCTTCCGAGGAAAAAGCGAAATAAACTTTCTACTGAGTCAAATGTTCAAGCCACGTTTGCATGACGAAAAATTTTAAACTGTTTTGGGGGACAGAAAATATTTAGAGGAAACAAAGTTATACGGCTTCCTTTGCACACCCCTGCAATTATGCAGACATTTGCCACCACTTAAAATGTATATATTTTTGATGAGTATTAACATTCGATTCCCAGCAAACTAGGGCCCTCTGCATGAAACTTTGCCAAAACTATTCTGTTAATTGTAGGTAGTATGTATAAACTATAAATTTTAGCTGTCATATGAATAATTTAAGTAAATGTTAAATCGAAATCGCACTAGCTGAACTAGCTGAGTAACGGGTATCTGATAGTCGAGGAACGCTCTCTCTTGTTTCTGTGCTGAAAGCTTGCAAGGCTTCTGAATAGCGCCATTGAATTGCTCAGCTTTATTACAATTACAAATATTATATTAAATGCCATGTTTACATCATTAGGTTACTAGCCTGCAAGTTACCTTTTTTGGTCAGTCGTAGTCGATTGATTCCTTTTTGAAGACATCTATGGTGGCCTTTCGGTGGTTGGCCGTGAGCAGGTACAGTTTCTTCAGCATGTTATCCGCCTCACCCGTGGTCATGGCAAACACCTGGATCATTCCCGTCTCGTGAACACGAGCTGCCACCCCGGGAATCGCCTTGTCCACGTAGTAGACATATTTCATATGCGACTCTGGAGAGAGCACGCTTGACGCAGTGAACTCCGGCAAGGAGATGCCCCATGGAAAGTGGGCGCAGGAAATGAGACGCAGGTGTAGCAGCTTGTTTGAGGGTTCGGCCTTAAAGTTCGCCTTCGCCAAGGTTCTAAGCATCAGATCCCTTTGGGTTTCGGCCAGCATCGCATGGCCTCTTCCATTTATTATCAACACGCTGCCATTGGACCAAATCCAGGCTATCTGTGTGGCCTCATACCGCATTTGGATCACATCGATGTCGGTATTGTAAACGGCGTTTCTTAGGTTCCTAGCCGTATTTTGAAGATTCAAATTCATGTTCATGCTCAGTGTGCAATACATTTTGCAAAAATTCATCTCGACACGCAAGCGCAATTCCTCGACCTTGGGCCTGTTGGGACGCCTTAGGATTCTAATCCTCTGGAGGCACTGGTCCAGGTGAACCGGCAGAGGCGGAAGCATAAGACATCTCCTCAAATTCTCCACCGACTTTGATCCAAACTGCTGGTTCCACTTCGAGCGGAGTCTCTTAGCTTGGGGATCCCTGAACTCTGTCATGTTTTGGTCAATGATGTACTCGAAGTCCTCGAGGCGAACTGTGAAGCTGTTCTGCCATCCAGTCTCCGTTGAGACTTTTCTGTTGCTTTCACCCAGGACTCGGGGTTTCATTTGCTCCTTGCTGATCTCGGTCTCGAAGTCAATGCCCTCTGGTTCTCCAGATGCTGGTTTGCTGGAGCTGTCCTCATAGATGAGAAGTTGCAGTTGCTGGGATATGGTTTCACTGCATTGCTGTAGCCAACTCTGGATGGCTTCCTCATCCTCTGGCCTCGGGGTTAATGGCTTAATGTCTTTGACCTCGAGGATAACTGGCTTTTCTGGTTTTTCCACAATACCTTGATTTGCTTTTTCTGGTTCCTTTTCTGATACAGTTTCTATGGAAACCTTCTCTTTGGGCACAGGTTTCCACAACTCAGGCTCAACAAAATCCGATTTCTGCGGCATTTCGAACACCCTTGGAGAAAACTTTTTCCAAACATCCTTTTCCTGGGAGATAAGATCCTTGGGCTTTAGTAGCTCGAACAGAAGATCCCGATTCTTCTCATGGTCTCTGGCCAGGCTCAATAACATATTGAACTCTTCTATGTCACTATGGGGTTCGTTGAGCCCCTCCGATTTTATCCACTCCTTGATGGCCCGCTCCTCTTCGATTCCAACAGGAAGGCTAGCAAAGGCGACATCTTCATTGTCCAGAATCCGAGGCCGAGGAGTCTGGGGGTCATTTTCGACCTTACTTTTTGAATCGGATTCCTCTACATCATTATGGAGCCCGTTGAGCCCCTCCGATTCTAACCACTGATCCAAGGCCCGCTGCTCTTCTTCATCGATCTTCCTCTCAAAGCCAGTTTCGAAAATATTTTTCGGAGGAAACCCATCGGACTTTTGAGATTCCGTTATAGTTGGAGGCGAAGTTGTGGATGCCTCCGAATTCGTCATGCAGCACAAAGGCCACTCAGCTTCCGAGGGCTGTATAACGCCCATCTTCACATCCATATAACTCTTCCAAATATCCTCCGACGACGGCAGACCTGTATCATAATCATCCACCAAGCTCCTGGGGATGGGTGTTATGGGTCGAAAACTGCGGTCAAACATCCAATCTGATGCCATTTGCGGTGGAAGTTCTAGTTCGACGATGGGTTTTGGAACAGTTTTGCGCTCATTAGGAGATGTTTTTGCCTCGTTGGCCAATCGACAGGTCTTGGCAATCCTTGATGAATTTGGAGCTGGCATTGGTCTGTCCTCGGGGAGTATGTTCATGGGATCAGCATTCTCCTCGACTCCAAAGTCCAGAACGACATTCTCAATGCGGAACTTGGTGGGTAGTGGCCTTGGGTGTTTCATTTTCGGTTCGAAAAGCGATGAATACGAAGTTATATTTGTATTAAATATGACTATTGTCTTACAGTCGTTCTTACCTGGAAAACGAGTTATGCATATCATAATCCGGGAAGCCATATTGATTGTACTTGGCTTTTTTGCTCTTTTTCTGCGGTTTGTTTACCGCATCCTCGCTGGCCCCATTAAAAAACCCTTGGCCATCATCTGAATCTAATAACGAATAACGAGGCATTTTGTTAGAAAGTAATCGTATGAAATTTTCAGATGCCAAATTTCTCATTGCACTCTACAACTCTATAGGTGGCAACCTTAAATTATTTCTTTGCAACATATTATATATTATCGGAAACAATACAATTTTTTATAAGCGTTAAAAAAAACCCCTAAAACCTAGCTTAATCCGAAATTTGGTGTTCAATTTAAATTATTTCGTTCTTTTTCTTATTTAAATGCGGCTTTTATATAATTCTTCTTTTACCCTGCCAGAGGATATATGGATTTTAAACAGAAGGTTGCAACACACTGAAAGTGAAATTTGCGAACAAATACTGTATACATATTTGGATCAGTATAAAGATTTGGACTCACTTTTGTACTCTTGGTATTATATAAGTGGGATCGGCATGAATGTAACTCTAGGGTAGCAGAAATATACACGAAAAAGAAATGAGAAAAAATGGTGTCGTTCTGAAAAATTAAATTAAATTAAATTAAAAAGAGCGATAGAACAGAGAGTGAATGTATTAAGCAACAAGAAGCGTGTACTTGCAGATTTGACGACGTTTTTGTAAATATAACGCCAGAAGACGGTACACGGAAATAAAGCATAATAATGTGCCATGACAATCCAGCGTCTGCGAAAGGGGGGTTCTGGGGGAAAAGCGACGCGTGCCAAACGGGAAAACACTCATAACGCTTCGCTCTCCATTTTCCCGGGCCCCTTTTTGAGTCGGACCCTCGTGGCTTCCTCCTGTCAATATGTTTCCCGCTCGACTTGTGCTATAATTGTGCCTTCCCTCTGCGGAACGCCAGCCATCTACAAACTCGTGTGAGTGTGTGAGTCGGCGGGGCCAAGGAGTGGAGGACATGCCCACCAGGACACTTTCAGTTACTTAGCCCAAGAAACTGGGGAGCGTCCGTTGCTCGGGGACCGAAGGACTGAAGGTCTGAATCTGAGCCAAGCGTTTTCCGCCCTGCCTGGTCCTGTTGTTTCAGCAACTTACAAGTGGCCGAGAAAGGATATCCCAGCTGAAGCTAAAATAATTAGCTGGGGGCTAAGCAGGAGTCGCAAAAAATGAGAAGGCCACGAGGGGCAGCTCGAAGAGATAAAAGGGGGATAAAACAGTGACAAAGAATGTAAAACGAAGCCAGGTGAGGGAATACCTTAGGTTTTCCTCCACAATGGGAAGGGAAATATATTTGAATAAAATTGCAAGCTCAGAATCATGGTATCGTTAGAAACTACCAATTTAAATCCAAAACGGCCATATTTTATGGTAGTTGGACTAAAACCATTGTAATTATATAGATATTTTAAAGTGCTATGATTAACTGTTTTATATCTGTCTTAATTTGGTCATTTTAAAATAAATTAAAAAAATATAATCGGTTTTTTTTTAATTAATTTAAAACTTATGTGCTTATATAAAGGATATGTATCATCTTAAGCCTTCAAAAGAAACAGTTTACAATAATTCAGTAGGATGCTGCAGGCGCAGGATGCGTTAACATTTGTACCCCAAACTAGCGAACCTTGCAGCTTAAAGGGTAAACACTCGCAACTCCACCGCTATCGTTTGTTTGCTTCCTGATCCGCGTGGCCAGCTGACGGGGTGAACAACCCCCTGTCTGTTCAAATTCGCACCACTCATCTAGGTCAGCTGGCGGTCGTTTCCTCCGACGCACCGCCATCTCATTTTCCGGTTGACAGGAGCCCTTTGATTCCAGCACATCACCTGACAATTTGTTGACTCAACTAATCTCCTTCTCCGCCGCCCTTCCACCCACTCCCGTTTCAGATGCCCAGGATGGGGAGACGTCACAAACACTGCCATCATCGGTTGTGCGCTTCATCTTCATCTCCGCTGCAGCGGCTGGTGGAACTGCAGCTCCTTCTGCCGGCGCTCCTCGTCGTCCTGCTAGCCACCACCCTAGGACTCGCCTGCCGCGTCTCCGAGTTCTCCTGCAAGGGCAGCGGGAACAGCGGCACCATCTGCGTGCCTCTGGACAAATACTGCGACGGACGCAGCGATTGCGCCGATGGCAGCGATGAGCCCAAACATTGCTCAGGTGAGTGAGTGCCGCCAGCTGTCGTGGCGGAGAGTACAGTGAACAATCGAAGGAGTGAACTTATGAAACTTATGAACTTTAAAGGCAGCTTTGCTGGGCCTCCAGCAATAAGCACAAACAATTTAATATTTATAGAGGCAACGCTGCGTATGAGTACTGCATCCTATGTCAGTTAACTATCAGTTAACGAATATATACACATTCGATTGTTTACTCTGCTTACCCCAGTGCACCCACTGCAGTCACATCCTTCTTTTCCGCCCCCACAGTCTGCAATCGTACATATTATGGCGATATCGGACGCACCTATGCCATAAAAGTGCCAACGCCACAGTGGAATAAATTGCCCTTCCTCTGTCACTTGACATTCACAGCATCCGGTCATGATCAAGGCGACATTGTTCAGGTGAGTAGGGGGTGGTGGGCAGGTCGGGTTGTTGGACAGTGCTGGGAAGGATTGAGGTACTGGTACCTAACTGCAGTCGATTGACATTTTATTTGATTGTTTATTTTCTAAGTACTGATTTTCTGTATTCAAATTGCATTATAATATTTCTGATTTGATATCGAAAAACTGTTTCGTAGCCAAACAAGTTATAAGCCTTTAAGAAAATATTTGCCATCGATCAAATTGTTTAACTCCCTTATCAAGTTGACTGTATCTTTTTAAGCCGTTCGGATTAATAGCTTGCATACTACAAAAAAGTTTCATTATATTTTTGATTGCCAGTACTGGACTATAAAGAAAGTGTACCTAAGTAGAGGAGCAAGAAGTGGTACCTGCGCAGCTCTGGTGCTGCGGAATCAGAGTGGAGTGTTTGTCCATCTCGTGTTGTAGTCCACTGTCCGTAGTCCGTTGTCCGTATTCCGTTGTCCGTAGTCCGTTGTCCGTTGTCCGTTTGTTGGCTTTAGTGCGCCGTAGCTCAAAGATTAGCCGTGCGTCAGCGAAATAAAAGTGCAATGCACACACACACATGTTCTGGAGGGCAGAGGGAGGAGTGTCCTGCAGGAGGAGTTCGCTCTGACGGGAACCAACCCACACACACACACACGCCGCCAGGAGACAGCGACACGCACAAATGCACCGCCGTGAAGTATTCCGAGGCACCTCCCCCCGCCCAACAATGGCACTCCGATTCGCACATATCACACGAGGGTCTTTATGTGTCCGCCACCGGGACGAGGTATATGGGTTCTGTTCGGAGTGTGACTGGTACAGTGGGGACTGCGGGATAATGACTCTCTCTTACTTTAATGGTACATACAAATTACATAAGATTTGGTAATACATATTTCCCTAATGCATAAACGGACTGGGCAGAAAAAGGCAGTTTATATTTTTTGAGATACATATTTTATAGAAAAGTGATGGAATATTTAAAAAGGGTGCCAAAATTGTAAGTGGACTTAATCAATTTAAAATTGCTTGGGTGGATATCGTACTTCCAGAAATACTTCCCGCGCTACCAGGGTATTCTGAATACACGTATATCCGATGGTCGCATTCCTGCTTGTTAGGCAGAATGTCTCCATTTCTCGCCTTGGCGGCATATCCTGACATTTTTGGTGGTGCTGGCATTTGGAGCGTGCTTAATTAGGACTTCCAGCGATTGCAGTTGAATCCCAGCCATGCCGCCCGCCTCTTAAATGGAACGGAGATCTTTAAACTGCCCTTGGGCACCCCCATAATAGAAGACGGTAAAACAGAATGGGGCAGGGATGCTGGAGGCAGGCGCAGAAATAAGCAAACAAGTCGAGCGGCTCAGGAGGAGTGAAAACACCCACGTTGACAATGAAATTAGACACGCTTCAAAACATTTTTGGCGAGCTGTCAGAGAAACGTCAATTTCAATTTTGAAAATAATTGATTTCCCCTGCAATTTGCGTAAACATCGCAATGAGCAGTTGAGTCCCAGGAAGTGGTAGTCAGCAAATCTGTTTTCCAGCTCCCACGACGTCCCATTTGCTCCTTAAATTCCCCAATCCGCTTGGGAGTCTCGCACATCCATATATACATACCTATATGCACATATATATGAGCAAATGTGGCAAGATGTATGCAAAATGTTCCTTCGTGGGCTTTGCACCCTGCACAAATCTGTCATGCATAAGTTATAACTTTTATTTTGTGTTGCCGAATTCGTAGAACACTTTTTGACAGAACGGGGATACACCTAAAACAGTTTTATGATATTCCGGACCTAATTGTCACTTGGCTATAAAATCTATACCTTAATACATCTTTATTTGAATAGTACTATTCATGCTCTTTCAGTACTTTTCCATACCTATTTACCCACTTCATGGATGTGTAGTTCAGTGTACATTTTCTCATCGCCCTTCATCGTGGCATATAAATCATGCGGTTGGCTTTCCGAGGCTGCCGTTTTTTCCGCTTTCCCTGCGATTTTCATATATTTTTTGGTTCCCACCCTGGTGCGTCTGTGTGGGAAATTGCTTGAAATAATAATGTTAGACATTGGCGCGGGCGAGGATTCGATGGAAGGATGCGATGTTGTCCGGACTGTCTGTTTGTACATATTGATTGATGATTGTCAGCCGGAGTCCCAGAACTTCGCGGAAGGGAGAAGTTTAAATTGCCTGGGACTCAGCCAAGCAGCCATGGGCTAATTTTTAATGGAAACACCTTAGCCCAAACTCTGGAATATGTTAGCTGTAATCAAATAGCCGATAGCGCCAGCTTTTTTTATAATTAAAGCTTGTTTTGAACGCCCTTAATGGGCGGGATAATTTATGCAACAAACAACGAAAGGGAAACTTTCTACTGGTAAAAGGCAGGCAGAACATTTCATTAATCAAGTAGTTTTTTAATGCCATTTATTTATTTTTGCATTGTAAACTGGTTTTATTGCAAGAATTTTAAAATGTGCACGTATTATTTTCCAAATAATTCGATGTATTTTCATGCCCAATTAGTATGACAATTAGAATGAAAATGATATTACTCCTTTGTCGCCTGCTTAGTTAAACAGTGCTGATGGAATTTTGCGAAATATTGGTATTTGTATTTTGTGGTCGAGCTCATGATGGATTTATTGTGTGATAATTTTAATAGGAGACCTAATTTACTGCTGCAAACAAATCGTAAATAACCCCACTGACCACTATTTAAAGTGCCTGTTAATGCAGTAAGTTTTCCTTAAAGTACTTAAATTTTCCCAGCTTGTCACGTCGAAGACCAAAAAACTTGTAGAGGAAAAAAACCTTAGAACATGAGAGAACTTCTTAAATAGCACACACTACACATAAATTATGCTTCCCCATTTGCCCAGGAGAATTTCCGGGACGAGAAGTCTACGTTGGAGTCCATAGCAAACTTGCAGATGCAAAAGTTTTTCACAGAATTTCCTCTGTCGTTCCGTCGCCGCTTCTAATGAAGCCACAAATGCCATGTGCGATGTGGATTTCCCTCCCTCATTTTGCTCGCTGTCACTTTTGCCTTTGTTTAATATTTCAAATTGGAAGTGAAAATCTCTTCGTGTGCGTAGGTGTTGGGAAATTCGGCCAAATGAAAAGCAATTGGCAGCCAACTGAAACCCGAGGCCGAACCCTTTTATTGGAATTTTTTTTCCACTTTTCGACACACACTCTGGCAGGCATTTATTTGCATATTTTATTAAGAAAATACATGTGCCGCACGAGTACATAATGTACATATTGCATACAGGATTAGACACTTGACTTTCTGCCTCACAACTTCCTTACTTTGACCTTGACTTGACTTCCTCTCAAGGCAGTGTGAATGCGGTATTATCTTTTTTATGGCCAATCAAGTATGCAAACAGTGGGCGTTGTGCTGTTCCCTACATTATTCGCAAATGGAGTTTCATTTGCATAGCTTTAAGCAAATATAAAATATAGTGTTAGTGCCCTGAAATGCCGGGCTAAACTGAGCTCCAAAGGATTTGGGATAAACTTTGAATGAATATACATAGCAGTAATAATAGTAAGCCTCTTAATAGTAGAGATGGTATTCAAAATTTAAAAAGTTCTGAATCCACAATATAAGTTAGCTATAGTTAATCATATAAATAAGCGAGTTAAGTAAGCTTCGTTTTAAAGTTATTTGTAATCCACGCTCATTTCATTGTATTTTTATAAGACATTCGAAACTTATGACTCGTATTAGGTAGCAGCTACCTACATTTTTTACTGCACTTACAAGATTAATACAATTTCAAATTCGATTCCTTCAGATCATCTTTGATGGCTTCACGGTGGGAAGGTTCGACGAGGGCATGGTCGACACGGATGTGGATGGTTATGAAACGAACCTCAGTCCCACGGGCGAGTTGCCAGGATGTCCCGAGGGTTTCATGCAGGTGAGTGGGCTGGAATTCCATTTATTAAAATTCATGTTACGTGATAATAAAAATAGTTTGCGGGAAATTGTGTCCGGGTGCTTGCACTCCATTTGCTTGCGTTGGGGGCCATAATTTCATGCCCAAGTGGGTGGTGCTGGGATTCGATGGGTTGGGGGTGCTGGGTGGTTGGAAAATCCGGGCGAGGACTTTGGCTTGTCATCATTGGTAGCTTTCCTCGATGTCGCCGTCGTCGGCGCTGTCGCTGTCGCTGTCGCCGTCGTTCGATTCAATCAATGTCCGAGTAATTCTGTAATTTTCTGTTTGGTTCTCTGTTGACAAATACCACATTAGCCCGGCAAATTGAATTGAATGTTGCGCCTGTGTGCGTCTCTTTGCCTGATATCCCTGTCTGTGTGTGTCCTGCCGATCCCGGGATTGGGAGCTTGAGTGCTGTAGTGCTGTAAGTGTTGTTGGGTCACATCCATTTGCCCTTCTGCGGGCCGAAAGGAAAACTATTTAACATGTACCAGGACTCTGGCTCCGCCAGTGGATCTGTGTGCGTGGTGTATATTTTTATCGCAAATTTTGCGGACACGTTTGGAAACCATGGCTGTAGCTGGTTCCTAGTGCTGTGCTGCTGTCCTCGCCCTTGTAATGGTAAAACCAAAATCCTGTCTAAATAAAATGTACGAAAGAGCTCACTAAATCCCTGTAATTGACTTGTGCAATATGTTTGAATGTCCCTCCGCTTCGCAAATGTATCCGCTTGTGTCTCAGTTTTTGTTTCAGCTTGCGTTTCTGCATCGGTATCTTTATCTGGGTTTCGGGTTGACTGGCCCTGCTGGAATCGCTTTTGATAAAGCCCAGACGGACTGCTCGCTTCTCCTCCTTTTCCCAGAACCCTTGAGCTGTTTTAATTTGGGGATTAAATAAAATATTCGCACAGAAGTGCTGAAATACAAATGCCAAACGAGATGTGCAAGTTCACATAATCCTCTGTCTTAGGAGGAGTTTGGAATATGAAGTGGTCAGCGGGGTGGTCTATAAAAATTAAAGCACCTGGAACTGTTGGAATATAGATAACATGTTTTTCTGGTACCTTTTTTGCACTTCATAAGTACTTGTGGCTTCACTATACATACTATACCTTCCATAATTATAGATGGTACCTAAAATCTCCAAAAGAATTTCCTACTCCATCCCAGAGTTCCTGCCTTTTTACCGGCACTATAGACTCTTATTGGTTGCATTTTCCACCGCCCGGTATAAAGAGCCTTTCCGCCTCCTGTCCGACTGTTGGAAAACCATAAACCTCTATTAGTTTAGCTACGTAGGCCCCCGAATCCCGGACTTTTTCCGCCGCCCCTCTGTCCCTGCCGGCCCCTTTGTGCAACAATAAATTTAAACAAGCGTGGGGCGTGCGCTGACATTTTGCGGCGGTCGTCCCAAAAACTGAAAAACGGCGCTGGACCAAGGGATATGGAATAGCCATCCAGTGCAGCCATCGCAGGCACTCCTGGGCTGTCCTGTTGAGGTTTCATTTGGCGCTTGACATGTGTACGGAGTTGAGGGATTTCCGCAAGGACATGGGCGTGCGGGAGGGGCTGGCTAACAGGCATGCATCTAGTTTTTCCTGCCGCTGCATTTTCCGGCAGCAGCGGCTTTCATACGCTCGCAGAGGGTAAGTGTAATTCCATTAGGGGCTTCAATTAAGAGGGGATCCTGTTTTTAAAATGCCAGCAAATTAAATAATAATATCATAAAAATCCAATAGTAGTTTTTTAAAGTAAAAACATATTTTCTTTTTAACTAACACTAGTTAATTGTCAATGTAAATTGTAAGATAAAGTTGAAAATATATTATATTATTAATAGGGGCTCAGCCCTAAAATCAGTAACCTATTGTATTTGTTTATATAATTCCATATTTTGTTAAATTTTCCTTCGCCCTAGAAGGGCATTCAGAAATTCGTTGCGCAAGTCTAAATTGCTCCACGGCCTAAAAATTCAGTTAAATATTTTCAATTTTTTGCCGCTGCTCGTGCATTGTTCATTGTTGTACTTGCAGTCCTATATAGACTCGTAACTAACCGCAGGTTTGTGTTGCGTTTCCCCCTTAAAAACCTCCATTTCCATCGAAGCGGTTTTTTTCCAGTAGAGGCAATTTTAACTGCTGACGCGGTTTTGTAAGCCCCTGGCCCTCAGATCTGTATAAATAATGCGTGTCATGGCCTGGCCACATAAATTCTTGACCGAAACGGAAAATTTATATCCGCTGCCTTTCCCACATATACGGTTATATATGATTTACCCAGGTTCAGGCGCAGCACCCCGTGTCGAGTCTGAAGTTTCGGTTTAATCATTTATTCAATTTAGTTGGACATTCTGTCTCATGCATTTTGTAGCAGGCCAAAAGGGGAGTGAAACTGGGCTGTCCTTATCTTGACCTTTTCGGAATTATTTTTAATAATTCAGCACACAAACTCGCGCAGTTCTTAAGTAGAGGTAACGCTTAAACTCCTTAAGGTGAATTTGCATAGGTCCGCATTCTTTAAACTCAGTTCTTAGACACACACTCATCTATACTTTGTTTATTGAAGATCCTTTATCCAGAAACAAAATTCCTATTACTAACGCAGCCAGTTTTAGTCGGTATCTCGTTAGTTGAATCCAAATCTTCACTACTGCCCGCCCAAAACTCCCGCTGGACCTTTTGTATAATATTGTTAATCATAAATAATAAAGTTTATGCATAAACGTATTAACCTAAATCAACAGAGACAACAAAGTCAGGCGGACGGCGGAGGAGGAAGCTGTTATCCTTGGGTGTCCTTGCGAGAGCAGCTTGGCCAAATGACTCAATATTTGACAATCATAACATCCTGACCCTCTGCTTTCCTCCTACCAGCCAAGGACAACAACCGGAGGAGTGGAGGCATCTTGGTCCTGTCTCAGCTTGCCCATAGTTTTTATTGGTTAGTCCAGGGTATATTTGTACGTATGTATGTATGACATGGCTGAGAGCTAGGAACATAACTCAAGGTTTTGCTGAGCCTAGAATATATTTTTTGTAATTTATTGGCCTATCCCCTCTGCATTTGTATTGCAAATGAAAAGCCTTCACGGCTAGGTTACTTACTTGTTATATGCCAAACGCTTTAAATTACTATAAATCAAACAGAACGCGGAGACAGTCGGCCAGTGTTGGCATTATGCGCTTAAATTGTTTCACAATTAAGTGAAAAAACACTGTGCAGCAAAAGGCGTGGCATCTGGGGGAGAAAAAGGATGCGGAGCGAAACTGACAGGCGGCAGCTTTTGTTTATTGTTGGCAGATTATGAAGCGAGAAGGATTCTGCGGATGCCAGTATATCAACCATGCTGATAAAACTTTTATCGCACTCAGTGTGCTTCATGTGTGCGTATGGTTGCAATCCCCGAGAACCGAACAATGTATTTCAGATATCTGTGGGGGTTACAGAATGCAGCCAAATTCCTATTAATATCTAAAAAGTTCTTAATGGATGAGGATGTAGTGAAACTAAATATTTTCAAGTACCTTCAACTGCATGAAAGCAATTTCTTGTATATTATTTCTAACATACCAATGGTTTGTTGTTTTGGACCAGATATTCGAATGTCCCATTTAACTTCAGTTTTCAATTCAAATATGTATATCAACTTGTATGCCCATTGAACGTTAACAAGTTTAGTAGGCCAACATTTCGACTGGCATATGAGCAAATGTTTGGCCAAAATGTCAGGCAATTATTAGCACGGCCCTAAAAAAACCTATAAAATTAAACCCATAGGCAATAGCCCAAAAAAGTTGCCTGCTACAATACTAATTCAATCAATTTAAAACCAACAGAAAATGTGGCAGAAATAGCAAGAGCAGATAGGCCAACTATGAAAAGGAGGGCAAAAAGGGGAATCGGGCTTAAAAGAACACACACACACAAGGACCAAGGCCCAATAATTCGTTATGATGTCGATGCTAATAACGCTCCAATGCACACAATGGACATGATGACGATGATGAAGAGGAACGAGCAGTGGGTTAAGATAGAGGGAAAGCTAAAGAGGGGAAAAGACAGTGCACTCAGAAAAATCTGAAAAAATCAAGCCACCAAAAAAGTACAAGCAAACAAGAATGAAAGCTAGCTTATGGAAGTTCAATTTTATTTACCCTTGCAATGAAAGTAAGATGTACCTTAAAATGAAAGTATTATAAACGAAAGCAAAGACTAAGAATATAGTCGTCCCATTTTAATCAGACTTAAGCCAAAATATGATGATTTTATTGATAAAGTCGATCAAACTAAAATCTCAGTTGTATATAGTCAAAAAAATGATGTGTACTGATTAAAAACTTGTTATGAATAAAAAAAGGAAAAGAAACTTTAGGAAAAAGATAAATGAAAATAATATTATATAATATAATATAATATAATATAATAGTTAAAATATAATGATAATATTATTTTTAATATTTTTCTATTTTTTAATATTTTTATATTATTATATTTTCTTAATAGGCTATGTAAATAGCTATAATCTATATACATCTATATACAGCTTTTCCGCATTTAGACATTTTTTTGAGTGCAAGAACTAGAGTCCTGGGAGCAGGACTCGTCCAGAGTTTGCAATGAATTTACACAAAATCGAAATCAGAAAATTACCATTATGCCGGGCAGTCAAGCCTGCCTGTGGCCCGACCTGCCAGGCCCATTTGCCCCATTCCATCCCCATTCCACCTCCAATCCAGCCCCAATTCCAAACCCAAACCAAATCCACTATTCATCCTGGCGATGAGATAGAGGAGGATGGCCGACGGACTGGCCATTGCCATTCAATATGACAGCAGCAACGGACCGACAAGACTCCAGTGCAACTGCAACTCTAACCAGTTACAAATATTGGCCAGACCTCGATTGGCGACTTTGCAATTACAGCAAAAATTGTTGTTTGAGTTTGAGGCAGCCGCAGGACATGGGGCAGAAAGGACATGGAGGCTGCTGGGCTGGCCTCGTCGGCCGTCGGCCGTCGGCCGTCGGTTGTCGGTTCAGTGCAAATAACCCATTAACTAAAAACTTAATCAATTGGAACCTCAGTGTAAATGAGCTGCCGCTGCCATTGCCATCGCCATCGCCATTGCCGTTGAACCAACGCCGTTGCCGTTGCCGTTTTCCGATCCCCACATTTATCGACTGGTGGCCACTGACCCAGGCCGCAGGCAGCAGAAAAGAATTGCAAACCGGAACCGGCAGTGTCCTCATCGTCCTGGTATTAGCAATATTAATGCTGCCTGTGCGAGCAGGCTCAATAGATGTCAGTTGTCCTGGGGCGAAAGGATTTGTGTGATTTTGCGCCGTTTGCCGGGCTTTCATAGTTCAGGAACTTCGCGTGAGTTCCGAAGTATTTACCTTAAAAACCGTTGACACATAGAATTTTATTTAATTCAATTAAAATATATAAATATAAACATTTGAAAAATTTATTTGAATATATTCAGAAAATACTTACTCTATTCATAATGTATTTTTTAATGTATCTTTTAACTGGTGCGCTAAAAATATTTTTAGTTTGCACACATATATTTTTCAAAACTACTATGGTTAACTAGAAATTGCTGGCAAAGTTATTATGTTGGATAGTGGAATTTGTTTAAAATGTATGAAATACAAACTTGATTGATTTCTTTTTGAATATATTTTTTTCAAAATTAGCTTGAGTTATGATACAAAATTGAGGAAATGGATCTCCATTGCTCAGCATTAAGGGCAGAGTACTTCAACGCCCCATTTAAAGTTCGCACTCTTTTTTCGGCTCCGTTAATATTTTAGCCCCATTCGTTTGGCAGGCTTTGGGGGTCCCTTTTTTGGTCACGAGGTAAATACATTTATGGGGCAGCATTTGCAGTTGTCGCTTCCACGGATGCAGTGTTGGTTCAGCTGCTGGTCGCACACCTTCAACTGTTGCCAACGGTTTTCCGCATGCATAAAATACCTGGCCAAAAGTGGGGTACACTGCGCTTTGGTACCGCTGCCAAGTGGCATGTTGCGTTGGAAAGCGGGAAAGCGGGAAAGTGGGGACGTGGGAAGGCGGGAAAACAATCGAATATTAAGCGGAGAGGCGGCAGGGAGAAGAAAAAATTACACTGCACAACACAACACGCACTCATAATCCATTAGCCCACGCCAGGTGGCCCCTGCAACGTGCGTATATTAATTTTCCATGCGTTTTTCACCAACCCCGTGCCAATAAAATCAATATGGCCGTTCGAACTCTATAACTTAACCCAATTTTTTAATGCGCCCACGACAGTGTGTGTGCCACATACGTACTCGTATGTGCTTTATGGGCTTTAAATGGTGCACCACGGCATTTTGCCAAGCTGGGCGAAATTGCTTTTAGCCTTTCTGTTTGGCTGTTTGGCTGTTTGGCTGTCTGTGGGCGTGTCAGCAACGAAACAAACTTGATTTTTAATTAATTAAATTTTTATTTATTTACTTGGCAGCTCAGCGAATTGGGACGCCCATTCACCGGCGGCTCCTGGTGCGGCAAGGCCACCGGACCGCAATTGTACTTCAGCGAAACATCCACGGTGACAGCCTCGGTGAAGGTGAGTGCAAGTGCAAGTGAGAGGGGGCATGCGGGAAAGGGACGGGGAGCCTTGGGAGCCTCCGCTCAACTGTGTGTGCTCAAATTGCATACTCTACCAGCACTTCGGGCCCTTTAGCTTGGCGCATCTGCTGGGATTTGATTAAAACAAAGTATAAGTGATGTAGTATAAGAAATAGTGGTTAAAAGTACATATTAAAGTATAGAAACTTACAATTTAATTTTAATTGGCTAGGTTCATTTAGGCAACACATTTCATTTAATTATAAATGCACTATCAGCAAGCTTATCTTTTTCCAGTGTCGACGATGCATTATGGGCCTTATGTTTCCATCTGCATAAGGGGAGGACTCGCCACCTCTTCAATTACCAAGCAGAGAATGTAATCTTCAGCTTAAGCCAAAGTTTACATGTCCAGCCTTTCATTTTAAATTGAACAACTTTTTCCGCGCACACCACACTGCGTGTGCGTAATATTTTCTTGAGGCTGTCAGCCAGCGAAGCAGTTCCACTGCCACTTTTTGATTAATTTTTAAATAAACGCGCTGCCATAAAAATGGACAAATGGAGGAGGCATCGAAAAGGACACGTCCATGGGAAACTCTTGGCCGGAAATATGGTTTCAGTTACTGCCGTCGAGTTGCCGCGCATAAATTATGAAAATTAATAAAAGTTCACTCGCCATGTGAGAGGAAACTTCTTCGGACACTTCTTGTCTGCAAAGTGTTGACGAGCAGTTGACATGGCAACGGGGGAAAATCAAAGGAGAAATCACAGATGGCATAATTGAAGAGAAATTGCGTGTCGAGATGAAAATTTGCACTCGTTAAGCATCCAATTGTATTGTTTTCTATCGAGGAGGCGGTCTTCTTTTAAGTAATGGAAGAGTCGTGTGAAGTCAATCGGAAGCCATTGAAAAATACTACTTACATATCTTTTTTTCCTCTCTTTTGGCTGTATTTTAATTACTTAAATTGCTAATTGTTAATGGCTTAAAGCGTTGCTTATGAGGGCGGTTGAACTCGGTTAGCAGAAGTTTCAGTTGTTTTACATCACAGGGAAATAAGTTGAGTCACGTTTCCGCTGAAGCATTTCACCTTGATTCACCCTTTTTGGCGTTTTAACATTTCAAATTGCATTCTACGACCGCTTTCCATTTTCTTGCAGGTATTTCATCCGCCACGCAATATCCGAGACGAGAAGCCCTTTGAGTTCAGCATAAGATATAAATTTATAAGCCAGTCGGATGCAGTTGTGAGGTAAGTTGCAGCACCGAATCGCACTGGCAAACTGACAAATATCTGTGCAGCCCGAAAAGTATTCAATAGATATTGGTTCGGTGCATTTCCCCTTTGCGACTTCCCCCTCCAGTCTTCCAAGGGGGGTAATGCCATCAGTTGCCTCAGCTTTTCATCTTTCCATAGATGTTTCTATTCCTGGCACTGACTCGATTCAAAGGCTCTTGCTTAGAACTTAAATCTTTCTGCCCGAAAGAACAATGCCACTTGGTTGCCCTGGGGATGGCTTTTCGGGAAATTCCGAATCGAAGGAGGTTGCCTGCATAAAACATGAGCCGTGTTCTGTCTAGTTTCTCAATACAGGTTTATCCTCACCTCATGTATTTGCACTGCAATCCATTTGTGCTGGTGCCTAGGCATGTGTCAAATTTGTCTCCGTATCGCTTTTCCTCCTCCCTCCTGCCTCCCTTCTCCTCCCCTTCCTTTTCCAAGTGCCGCGCTTTTTGTTTGCAGGTGGAAAATTAGAGCGAGAGGAAAATAGAAATTGAAATGTATTTTTACGCCTGAATAGGTTGCACAGAATTTACAAGTCATTGCCACACTGCGAGAACATTCCGTAGGTTGTCCAGATATTATAAACAATCCACTGTTGCTAGTTCCTTTTTACGAAGGAAACCTCAATACATAGGGAACTTTGTTAACCCAAATTATTTCTGCTTACCAAGCTAAGCAAAATAAGCTGTAATATTACATAACTTATTTGTATCAATTACTAGCTTTTTGTGAGTATTCATGAACTAGGAATGTGCAGCTTCAAAGATTAGGTTCGAAATATTAGATTACATTTTCTTGCTCATTTAAAGTGGTAAATACGAATATTTAGCTAGTGAATTTTCCGTTCGGTGTCCGCCAATCGTGTGCACACCATTAGCAAACCAAACAATGATCAGAACCAGAACCCAGCAGTGACCGTCTATACACGTGAGTGTAGAAAGGTGGGCGTGACGGCGTGTGGGCGTAGGTGCGTGTGCGTCCCGTAGCACATTTTATGCAAATTGCAGGTCTTTGTGTTGTTGGTGGCGCTGGCCCGGCCTTAAATACCATTCAAAATGTAGGCGCACGGACCGAAGGCGAAAAGGACGCAGAACCAGAATGAAAATTGCTAAACTCGCACAACACTTAGTGAACTGAGAACTGAACCTTTTGGCCTCTTTTCCAGATACGGCCTGCCCGATAAGCCGCTCGAATTGGGCCGTGTGACACCCGGCACCTATTGTACCAGGCAATTCGACGAGTGCTATCGGAACAAGTGTCGCCTGCAAAGTCCGAATTATCCTGGCATGTATCCGAGGAACGTAACCTGCTACTGGACGATCCGGCAGAAGGAAGTCCCGACCAGCAAGCACGCCATGATTGCAGTTAGCCAGGAAAATCAGCACAAGGCCTTGGTAAAGCGGTAAGTCGGGACTGGGGATTGTGGGCGGGGATTGGCCCGAAGAATCTCGAATGAATACCTGCATTGGAGAGCATTAAATAAGCATTACCATTCTGTCCGACGGGTTCGAGTGCCGAATTGAATGGGATATGTGCACATACTTGTATGTACATATCCCGGCCAGACAAAGTGCATCTGCATCTGCATTTGTATGACAAATTTCAATTTGGCAAATTGCTAGGCGAAGTACCAGTTTGCAGTTTGTTAACTGACGGCACAAATGAAACTGTTTCGTGTCCGAGAATGTTAAGCATTCGTCGCCAAAAAGTTTTGTATATTCCAATTAAATGCAGCAAACTGGCAGCCGATGCAATTTGTATGCAAAACCGTATTAAAGGACAGTATGTGAAGTTTGTAATTGAATTGATGGGATTAGGCAAATGTATTTTTGATATTAGCTGACATTTATTTTCGACTCTGGGAGAGAATATCTGGGTTTTCTGCTCAGGTGTACACAAAGTTCCATTCTAAAAAGTTTGTTATTGAAACAATGAAGAAGAAAAAAAACAGCACACTCATTGGAAAAATGACGTACAAAATAGATTGAAAAAATATTTATTACATTGTAACAATTGTATGTCTACACTTCTCACACACTTGTAAATAATATTTGTATTACTTTAGCTTTTACTATGATTTTGACCCCAGCTGTAACCATTTTCTGGCCTGGCTTTGGCAAATGAAAATGTTTTCATTGCATTTCGATTTGATTGCTTTTCTCCGTTTTTCAATTGTACATATTGTTCGTGCTCTCTGGCTAACCTCTCCAATATGATTCCTATTTTTCCGCCCACACTCACAGCTCAATAGCCAGCTTTAATAAAACCTCCCGGTCCATTCGAGCCTGGTCGGACTGTACAGGTGAACGGGACCATTTAATTTTCTACGACGGCAGCTCCACCAACGACCCTGTTTTGGCCAAGTACTGCGGAGGAGATTGGTTGCCACGCGTCGTTTCACGGTACGTCCAACTATAAAATTGCACAAGTATTTCTCACATTTTATAGGATATCATATACTTTATCTTAATCAGAGAGAACGAGGGAAAAGAGGGCCGCAGACAGACATAGGACATTTATTTAACGCCACTTCTCCTTGCTATGAAAAAGTTAAATATAAGCACAGCAGAACTCATAATACATTTACAAGAAAGGATAGACAGGCATTTTTAATGAGCATGTGTGTGTGAGACTGTGCCACTATGCGAGTTTGTAAGTATCGCCCACAGTGATGACGCAAATGCTCTCTAACTTTTAGGATGTGTGAAATTTTGGGGGTATGCATTCTTAAACCAAACAAATCAATTAAGTTTAAACAAAACAAAAGATAACAAAAAATTGTCTTAATTCATATGAAGAAAAGGAAAGGTCTTTACTAAACTGTGAGATGCATCCTAGGCAAAAGTAATTTTCGGATCACTGTAAGACGGGAATCCCCTTTCCGCATCACTGGCAAGTGATGTGCATGTGTGTGTGGCTGGGAACCGCAGCCTAGTGCACTGCACTGCAGTTTTGGCTCGGGGCGCATGTGTTCCTATTCAGTTACACATAGATACAAAGCCGCTCACACAGATACAAAACGGGCGAGTGTGTGCGCCCTGCAATTGTGCGCAATGCTTAAGCAAAACCGGAAATTGGGTTGCTCTGCAGACAGTAACCGAAGGACAGACTCCGAGATCGACCGACAGACAGTCGGAGCGAAAAGTGAAAAAGAGATGCGAAATTCGAGATACAGATACAGATACACTCGCACACAAGCCCCTCCTTGCAGCCTCAGAAAACAGAAAACAGCCCAGCGCACACATAGATATAAATAGATTTATGCTGTCGGTTGAAACTTTGCTAGTGCCATCTATTGAAAACCTTTTCACATGATGCATGTGATTTATGCAATGGCGAAATTTTGCTCATTAGTTTCCAAGTTGCCAGCATTTAGATCATCAACCATAAATTCTTAAAGGCTCGCCAGGCTTTCAAAAGCAGTTTTAAGTTTCCAAACTCCGGCGCACACATGCACACCTGCGGAGTTGTCCTGGAGTTTGGCTTAAGCAATTAAAATGCAGCCACTAATCGGCGTAGTTTCGCATTAGTTAGTGGAACTAGTTCGCTCGTTAGTGGAAAGCTGCTCGGTCTGCATACTTTTTGCTGCCTTAACTCTTAATCCGCTTCATTTTCGGAAGTAAGATTTGTTGAGCGTCAGCAATATAATTATAAATGCCCCTTTGCTTTCGCCTGAAAACAGCCACCAATAAGAATACTAACTGAAAGAAATCCTAAATAGGCAAAGTAACGCTTGTAAAAATTACCTGCTCTACAAATAATAAGTAAAGACAGCCAACTGAGGGACTCATATATACATTAACATAGTTTACTAACAAATGAATTTAGCTCGAAATTGTTACTCTACACGCACTCTGTATCTTCGTAAGGCAGCAAAGTAATTTAATCCCCATAAAACAAGTAACACATTTATCTCCCAAATACTAAACTACCAACTCATTGAGTTTATATTGTCATAAATTCTTGGAAGTCTGCTCTCGATGTGCTTAAGAACACTTTCGGGACATCCCCAAAATGCTAGGATGCAGCTCTCAGCCACGCCCACGCATTTCCATGGATTCAAGTGGCCTAGTTGCCCAAACCCATAACTCCCACCACAACCACCTTAAGCCCCCTCTGACGGCGCCTCTGGCCATTTATCTTGCACTTGAGCGTTTGTTTTTGTTGTCTTTGGGTCTTTGGTCAGGGCCAAAAGTTTGCTCTTTTCCAGGGTCTGGGTCTCCTCCGCCCACTTGGTGACCTCTTGAGACATGCACATAAACTCTGATTTTTTTAACTGGACTGGCTCATGCAGCTGTAAAAACAAATCGTGAAAGATCTCAGGCAATCAATTTTCAAATTAATGTATTCATTTTGGGCGGCAAAAGTGGAAAAACATTTGAAGGCTGCACGCAAAATACTTAAACAGCCTGCTAGCAGCTATTCCATAGTTAAATAGCAATTACTACTTGTATATCAAAACCTAAAGGCTTGCCAAGTTCTCACCCAAGTGTGGCAATGTTTTAAAAAGTAGTTCAAAACATATTAAATTGTGTCGTTTTAAGAAGTCGGCCCAGCGATGGTGAGATCTGCGCCTGTGCCCCTTAATCTCTTAATGAGTTGCACTCTCGCATTTATTGACATCCTTTCCGTATCCTTGGGAAAATCTCATAAGCGCGCACAGGTGCCAAAAAGAGGGCGACGGGATCGGGGAAAGCACATCAAATATGCATAGAGCGTAATATGCACATGAAGGAGAAAACGAACGAGGCAAAAGACGCTCACAGAACTTGATGGAAAAGTGGGTGCCCGAGAAAAACGGCAGTAAGAAGCCATGGTCGTAGCTCATGCCGCGCTTTTCCTTCCACCGACACCGCACTCGTCTTCCACATCTTCTTCTTGCAGGACACGGAAAACAATTTCCTCCGTGGGCTACACTGTTGATTAAAATGTTTCAAAGAAATGTTAGTTGATATTTGCCAATTGTTACAAATTATCTTAACGGATTCGATGTTTATTCTTAGGTAATGAAATTATCTTCTTAAAATGTTCAAATATTCAAAGCGTAATATTCGCAATACCCAACAGCAAAAAGCCAGCTCACAACAATTTACCTAACAAGTCAAAACGCTATGTTAATTCAAGTATTGCAATGATGGCTTCCTAGCTCTGCTTAGTTGTATGTTTATTGTGCAGTTTTCCGAATTTTCCCGTGCGCCATGTCAACGTCATACGCGACATGAGCACACGAATTACAGATGCACACACACACGCGCGCTGGAAAAGTCCTCCTTCTGCGCCTGCAAACATCGCTCGCTTTGCTTCTCACCTCAGACATGGTTCTCTGACTTTATGCGAAAATCGCATATGCACACAAAGACGGGGAAAATGAGTGAGATGGGTGGGGCTTGGGGCTGGAGGAAGCTACATACGAATTATTAATTTCCCAGCGCAACTTAAAATTGCAACAAGCTAAAGGTGCCGTGAGACGTTGGTATTTTATTGGTCTCTTTTTTTACTTGCTCGCATTTCCCTTTTTTGGGGGGAGTGTGGGATGGAAAAGCTGGAAAAGTTGTGTTTCCATCTCAGCTGCAGCTGCAGCAGCGGCAGCAGCAGCACCAGCTGTTGATTTTCCTCTAAGTAAATGTTAATTTTTGTTAGCCAAGAAAAGAAAAACTCAAAGCGATAACTTTTTAAATTGCATATTAATTTTTTATGGCGTAAATTTTCCACCCCTCCCCCTCGCACTCCTTTCCACTCAACCTGCTTTTTGTGGTTGCACTTTGCGGATTAGACTTGATGAAAATCGGTGAAAGAAAACGGGATGTTTGCATTCAGTTAATTCTATTTTTTGGGTGGGGATTTTCTCTGGAAAGGTTTAACTTTAAGTGCCTTATGCCTTAGAGGCGCAGACGAAATCACTTAAATGATTTCAGCAGTGAAGCCATTAGCACATAAAAATTGTATCTTTGATTAAGATATCAGACTTTCACAAACTACATTTTTTTTTTAAATTGAATTTGAGAAACTGTTAGAAACGGTCAACTTTCGGTTCTTAAAATCTTTTCAAGAACTGTTGAAGAACTAGTACGGCATGCGCTTTTTAAGCAAACGAGCTTAACAGTTTGATTTTCGATTGAAACCCCAGTGTTGGGTATCCAAAACAGCTTTTAGTGCTCGGCTCCTCTGATAACTGGAAATCTCCGTCTGCTACTGAGTTCTCCCGCAAACACGAGGCTTTCAAAAACCCCAGAAGCATCCACGGTGACCGCAATTCCATAGAATTTCGAGGGGCATTTTCGGGGGGACGTAGCTGCCATTTGCGGTCAGGACACTCTGACGCTTCGGAGAACTTTACGTGTATTGATAACCGACAAAGGGACAGCGATTTGGAGCGGAGGTGGCACGGGAGCGGCGAGTTCAAGGAGGCAACTTGGCTATGGATTCGTGTTGATTTTACGACACCCACAAGTGTGCCGCAGGCCATAAAGTAACCAAATGTCACGAAAGTACGCGTACAGGCTGAAACCTGCACTTGGAAAAATTAGACACCACTTTAAACTTTGGCTTTTGCATGAGCAACTTTATTTTACAATGTAAATAAATAAATAAATATAGGCGAAAGTAAATATAGATAAGTATGCAGGTATGGCTAAGCGATTCTTTCATTAAAAAGAAACCAAATGTAAAGCTATAAATTTACAGATAACATTTTATTGTTTGATGTATTAAAATATTAGGCCAAGTCTGGCTACATTTCCTTTTGAGTGGGGGCTATAAACTTGGAAAACATGCAGACATTCTCGCGAAAAGGACATTCCCCAGCAACCAGGACACGCCCCAGCTGAATTCCAGGGCCCAAATGGGGACCAAGCATTTGTGTCGCTTTATTAAAAATTAATTTACTTTTCATTTGCAGTTTATTGCACTTGGCACTGACAGAAAGCATTGCAGCTGCTCCCCATCCGTGGCCCCTGACCCCAAGCCCCTCTAATCCAAACACCCCCTTCCCGGGACACGTTTCGCTTAAATAATAAGGAGCTTTGCCACCCACACTTGGCCACACTTACACGTATTAAAAAGCCATTTTGTTGGCCATGTTTGATGGCTTTTGACATCGTCTGCGTGAGCGTTTCTTTTTAAGTGTTCAAAGTCTTGGCTCGGCTGGGTGCAAGTGTGTGAGCTAGTGGGTGTGGGTGTGTGTGTGTGTGTGTGGGGAGCTCAGTTTCCGTTTTATTTTATGTCATGCCATATTACGCATACGCCGTGTGTGCACACCTCTTGCTCGGGCAATAAAAATTCAATTTGATGTTTAAATTGAAAACTTTGAACATTATTTATACGGTTATAAATGCGGCACGCTAAGAAGATGAAAAAGGACCACAGAATTGCGTACATTATTTTCAAGAGCGGCGAAACTAGGACTTAAAAAACATAAATTAAGTTAAGTACGTTGTAATGGACTTACTGAGAAAATGGTTAATCAAAATATTTGATAATACTTTATTTGGAGTATAGCTCAATGAAATGCATATGAATATAAGTATGACCCTCGCAGGAATGTATAAAGTTTTGGTGAATTTGAAAAAATAATTGTTATACAATAAAATTGATTTCAAGCAATTGCGCGATAGGCAAGGAACACTCACTTTTAATGTCTCAGACGACTATTATTTTCACCTAGAACTCTCCATTTGATGGACACTACAGTGAAAACGGCATCTATAAGTGTTGCAAGCACTCGAAGTTTATGAACACTCGGTGTCACTGCCATGGCATCTGTTCCTGCCCTTCCGCTCCCAAAAATCTGGCGTCGCGCTGTCTGCGAGTAGGGAAAAATAATGTAGGGGGTGGAAATGCTCTGGTGGAAATGCAACACCCACTAGCGACTGACATTTCATAATTTTTGGCCAGCGAAATCAAAAGACAAACGGCGAAATTTTTGGCCCAACTCGACTTCGTTACTTTGTTATGCCAAAAAATTTGCCTAAAACTTTCGCATACCACCCACCGCCCGCCGCCCAACGCCCGCCGCCCGCCAGCGAGACAATGGCGAAAAAAGTTAATTTGGCAGCAAAAATGCAAACAGCCAGACGGAGCGGACACTTTAAATAGCCCAAAACAAAGCGGCGGAGCACTGCGTCATACTTTAGGGCGCGGCTCGTCGGCATTTTGGCAAAACGCCCACCGAGATTGTTGTTTGTACTATTTCGCTGGCTGTTTTGGGTTTGTTGCCTCATTCGTGGGCAAAAAGTTTACGACTTTTCTTGTTTGCCGAATTGTGCAAATTAAATTTATGTGAGCTGAAGTTTTTTCACGCCTCTAATTGGAGTGCCAGTGGCCTGGTTACTGGTTACTGGTTACGGACAAACATCGGCTGATACCACGGGGCGTATGAGCGATATTGGGCAAAACTTCTGAGATTTCTTTGTGCAAAACTTTTTGTGGCCCGGCTGGTTGCCACTCACGTCCAAGTATCGTAAGACTTTAAACAAACAAATAAGCCGATATCGAGTTGAATTTAATAATAAAATAGAACGTGACAGGGCGCCCAAAGACAGCGTTAAGCAAAAGGCGAAGTTCAATTTGCATTGACCAGAAACACACAAAACCTAAGTAAATATATATTAAATGGTTACTTAATGATTACTTCTAGACCCTCAATACTTTCCAAATGCAAGATTAATTAAATTTCACCTGATTTGTGTTACTTTCAGCGGTCCTGAGATGCTGGTGGCCTTCCACTCCAGCCCCTTCTCTGCGCCCCTGCAGCAGGGGATTCCGAATCGAGGCTTCGAGCTGGACGTGGACATACTCTTCACCGACTCCGACTCATTTGACTTCGCGCAGGGCACCAAGAACCTGTGCGAGTTCCACATAAATGCCTCGAATCCAGGTGAGAGCAGATTCCGCAAATGAATATGAATAACCGTAATTAATGACAATTAATGTGGGGCTCAGCTGCAGGTGCAAGTGCGGCAAACTTTCCACGAAAGGCGGGACACTATCAACTGGGTCAGCATTTCCACTGCTCACCATTTGCTCTTCTTTCGCTTCTCTTACAAGATATTCCTGCTCTGGACGATAGTCATCCTTATAAGTGCGGGAGTGCTTCCTTTTCTTTGCTTTAACGCGGAATTATTATTTATACTGCCTGGTGATGAATGCTCCTGGACGGAGCACTTCTCCGGCTGCTTAATTGCCATAAAAAGAATCGGATGTTGAAAGTCAATTCCTCCCCGCGTATTTGTGTCCTGGTGTAAACAGAGCAATTTGGCGAGGTGTCTCATTTTACTGGGCGTGGCCGCAACTATGCAGCCTCTATTAGCCTTTGGCTCTAATCTAAGCACACTAAATGAGATTTTAATTAAATTCATGGCCAGACGAATCCCCCACGGAAACCCGAGTCTTAAGCCGGCCAAATGGCTTTTTAGGCTTGACTTGATGCGGCGGCCAAAAAGAAAAGTATGAGTAATTGCTTGGGCAGCGATAATGTACGGAATGGATTTCAGGCGCGGAGTGGGAGAGTAAGATGTCTGGGATGCGGTTGCCTGGGTGATTACGACGGGGAAATATAGAACATAAATTCAGGATTGAGGATTAATGCGGTCAATAGCAGAATACTACTAGTACAAACCTCGATTCTTAGCCTAGAAACCAAATCCAACAATTTGACGAGAAATACTTGATATTGAAGCTGAAAATGAACTCTACAATTACGTAAAAAAGATGAAGTACCCCCAATCCTTGTGGCCACATTAATTAACATTCGCCACTAACCGAATGCTCTGCTCGAAGGAGCTTCCTATTCTAAGCTTGTTTTTATACGATTCCCCACTCCCATTAACATCCTTCTCCTCCTGCACCTTCACCTAAGCTTTCCCCTTGACTTGGCTTCTCTGGAATTTCATGCTCCCTGGTCAGCAGTCAGCTGCATTTAATTGAAAAATTATTAAATGAAATTTCAAACTGCCCTTCTGAGCCTCTTGGGTGCCAGGGAACTGGAAGCCGAAGCCCAGGATCTCCAGAACCAGAAACGCTCCATCAATTTGGTGCAGCAGCCGCAGCGGTGGCCAAAAGTAGGCAACGCCATGGCAGCCGCTAATGTTCATTAATTTGCACTTAATAACTTTGGAGTAGATTTTATTTTGCTGGCCAAGCCGAAAGCGCTGGGCTTTTATTATTTTCTCCGACGCTTTTTTATCTCGCAAAAAAGGGAAGAAAATTGAGGCAGCCCTCATTTGAAATTAGTTTTTTGGTTGAGCAGGCAATTTTGGCAGGCAAAAGTATAGGGCAAATCAACTCAGTCCTAGTTTATTTTCCTCCTTATCCTTACAGCTTTCCTACGCCTTGTTGTTCTTGTGCTCATTAACTTGCCAGCTTAAATAGTATATATACATATATATGGCTATATGTATTCGGTTGTTGTTTCGGTTTGGCTTAATTTTTGACCGTTTAACTTTTGTGAAATGCCGTTCATCCTCATTCCCCATTCCCTTGGCTTTTTCACTTCGGCTTGGCTTAATGCGTTGGCTGGGAAATCCAGCAGATGTGCCTGCTATCATTAGGCCAAAAATTCTAGGTGGGTGGGAGGATTTTTAGCGGCGATTTCGTTGCTACACTCGTATCCATCATAGTTATAAATTTTAAGTGTAGCTGTAAGCTTGGAAAAAGGGATATCCAAGATAAGCATTAAACTACACCTATTTATTTTGGGGACTCAACAAAAAAATTAATCACTAATTTTAAATTGATAAACAAACGAAATGCACAGGAATCTAATTAGAAACAGCAAATAACATTGCGTTAAAACAAGTTGTGACCGGAATCGAAAATATGTTGCGAATGCCTTAAATACTGGCAACATTTTGCGGCATGTTCAATTAGTAGAACTCGGCGTATGAAACATTTATTTATAACGGCCAAGGAACCGCGCGGCTGGTGGGGTGGGGGAGTTAGAAGGAGTTGGCCAACAATTCGGGCCAACAAGGCGGTATAATTGTTTTGTTATCGACACACGCACACACCCCCATGGCCACGCCCCTTTGGCTGGCAGTTTCGCTGGAGTGGTGGGATGGGTGGCAGCTTTGCGCGATACAAATAAATTATTAGGGGGTGCAACATGATTTTAATTAAAGTTTTAACGAAAACCAAATATTTATCGTTTCATTTTGCTTTCATTTGTTCGCTGTGTGCGGTTTTATTTGCAGCCCCACTCCGCAAAACCCCTCATTTTGCAACACAAACAGCAAAATCGTTAAGCATGGGGAAGCAAAAATTCAATATGCATTTGTATTTGAATATTTGAAATTTTAGCCAGAGAACGGGCGAAACAAGGACAATTTATTATGAGCAGCAAAGGTCATTGCAATGTTATACATAATCATCAGCGTGCGGTTTTCAATAGAATTCTCGTAGAGTCGTAGAATATTCAGTGCAAATAATGCGCTGGGACCACGCGGCGTATGATTAATAAACTGCAGATGCAGATGCAGATGCTTTGTGTACAGAAGTCCGGCTCGGGTTTCACTTATTGCGTTGATTACGTAACTGAATCTGTTGCATATTTAATTTGGTTTGATTTGGCCATAACTTTTTCAATTAACTTTAATTAAATTCGCAACTTTTCGCCCAGTCAGTGAAGAAAACCCTCTGGCTCTGTGGTGTGCGTCGATTTTAATTACATTTTGTTTGCTTGTATTTTCCGCTGACAGCCCTGCAATCGTTTAAAGCTCGCTTAAATCAATCGCAAAACACCGCCGAGTTTGCCATCGTTTTCCATCGCTTGCCAAGAGTTCTGGCGTATTTTCGTAGCCATTGTCATAGCTGCCAATTGTCGATCCAATTATTTCCTAAAAGGATTTATCCGACAGCCGAGCTTTATCTGACCCAATCAATACCAATACGGATTCCCTAATTAGTGATAATCAACTCCAGCCGAACATTCCGTATGCAATGAGCGCCCCACAAAAGCGGAAAAACTTCATCCTGCGAATATTCAGCATGTCCTTTGCCATGGCAACTTGTTCTCACATCTAATGTCGCCAATCAAAATTGGGTTATAAATTACTCTGCATGGACTCGCTGTAAGATTTGCTCAAATCATTTATGCCAACTAAGCAGCAAGCTGTGATGGAAAATTTATTGCCCAACGAACCAAGGAACACATTCGATTTATGTTTTGGTCTTCAACCTATAGAAACTCTTGTCAAAATTGTATGAAATAATCAGTAGAATACTAAGGATGGGATAAAATAGAAACACACTCGAGCCTAAATAAAGAATGAGTTAAATTGTTTAATGGCCTTTTAAGGAAAGGTTGTTTGAAACTGCCCTGAGATTAAAAAGCTTTCAACATTCCCATTTTAACCTTATGTGACAGCCAGAGTTTCGACGGGATTCCCTTGCTAATTCCGGAAAAGTTGTTTTGACGTTTTTCTGTTCATTGATTTACGGATTATTGTTGATGACATAGTTGGGGGAATTACCAACTCGCCCCGCTGAACTTAAGTTTCTGCTAACACCAACCCATTTCCCCTTTCCCCTGCCAACTTTAGCCATTTTTTCAGCGCCGCCCTCAGCTGTTGTTACACCTAAAGTTTCGCAAAGTTTTTCAGCAAACTTTAAGCAAAACCTTTCAATTTTGTTGCTGCTTGCTGCTCTTCCCTCTTCTTTCGGAACGTTTGTGAAAATTTTCCTTTTTAATTTCATAAAGTCAACAGACGAAAACAAAGAAAGGGAAAGCAAACAATGAAGCGTTGAACGGCGGCAAAGACAAAGGAACTTGTATTTAATGTGTTGGCACGGGGTTTCTTAGGAAAGTAACATGTAAAATTAAAGGTGTTTTGCGAAATTGAAGGGCTGAAAAAGCCACAAAATTAGTTGATTAAATTGTGTTTTGTACTCTAATTAACAACATCAATTAAATAACACACGCGTAAAGGGAAGTGTATAATTAAAATGCAGAACTGGCGATATACTAGTAAAGCATATGGCTTTATTCGTTAAGAAAATGCTACACTCATGTTATATATACGTCTAGGCATGCATATGTATATTTATATAATATATATACGAGTAGTATAAACTACTATATACTATTAGGAATAAAAGGGTATACTCGATGCGATGAAAAGTATGTAACAGTATGTATGTATGAAAAAGGCGTTTCTTCTGATCATGATCAGTAGCCAAGTCGATTTTGCTTCCCAAATTCTATCAAGATACCAGGATATTGTAGAAATTTCTCACGGATATCTGATAATTGGGGAGCGCTTGTTCTTAATAGAGTTTCAAATAATTTCTATACTTCAATCTGTTTTCATCTAGTATTTTTATATGAGTTTAAAAAAATATTGCCGGGCAAAAGTCGCAATATTTATGGCCGATCCTAACTTTGGGATAGAGTGTAATATAATAATAATAATAATAATAAAAAAACTTCCTGAAAATAAATACCGAACTGCTAGCAATTAAAACTTATTTGTGCGATACGAACATACATTGATATCAGCAGGATTTTCCCGGGTTTCCCATGGCTGCCGAAGGGGAAAATCGAAGGAAATGGGTTTGCGATGTCGGAGAAGCTGGCGAATATTTGCTGTTTAGTTTGCTTATTGAGTTGCAATTTTGTTTGCAATCAGCGGATGGGAAGAGGAAGCTATTGAAAACAACAACAGAGTTGGCCAAGGGGGATGGCAGTGGCGGGGGCGTGGTGAGGCGGATGATTGGCAAACAACAAATTAGCATATTTGCACATAACGGCAACATTTTATTTGCATTCGAATGTGTGCGAGTGTGTGCTTTCGCATGTGTGTATGCGCTTTTATGTAATATCAATATTTAATTTTGAATTTGTCAATGAAAGGCAAAATTGTAGCCGCTCTCTATTAACTGTGTGCCTTTTTTTGTGGCATTTGATTTTTAGGCAAATATTTCAGCTTGCCTCCCCGAAAATATACATATTGTATACATATTGTTTAACTGGCTTTAATACGGTCCATCTGGTCTTCTGAAACCTTCGCCCTTGGTGCAACCAAACATTAATTGGCTGAAAGCTTTGGCAACTTAATTTTCCATGGAAATTAATTATTAGGGCAAACACCCAGAATACGGAAACTTCCATTGGGGACTGGGGCATGCCCCTGCATATATTTATTAAGCTACTTTCTGCCCCGGGCTGGAAATTTCGTAAATTTCGGTTTGACAGTGCACAAAAACATAATTAACTTGCTCGATGTGATGCATACGCATACGTATACGTATACGTAATGTGGTGGCCAAATGGGAAAGCGGGACTAAAGCGAATGTTTTTGTTTGCCACTCATTTATTATTTATTACGTTTAATTTGCTTTGCGCGACGGGCCAATCATATTTCGCTTTTTGGCTTGGGGTTTGTTATTCTCGTTGCATTCATTTTGGCCATGGCTAAACTTAAAATGCTTATTTTTGGTTTCGTTTTGTTACCAAATGCAAAATATATCAAATGTGGGCTGCACCGGTAAATCATATGGCGAGTAAATTAATTTAAATTGAAATTAGTACAAGTATCAATCTAAAGCAGCTAAAGAATTGCCATTTTGCACAGTGCCAATTAATATCTGCCTTCCAATCACATCCAATTCATATAGACCGGCATCCCTTAATTTAAATTAAACAAAAACATATATATGCATAGAACGTGTGAAATAAATAAAAACTGCCAGGCAAAAAAGGATTCGAAATCAGGCGAAAGCGCCTGGCGCAGTTATCAATTTAATGTTGAATGACCATTAGGCTTATGGCGATTTACCGGCAATTCAACAAAAACCAATTCAGCGCCATCAAATATGCGTGACAATCCATTAAGTGATATATTCGCAGAGGAGCCCACTCGCATTTTAAATGGTCCGGTTTGGAAATAGTCTCAATTGGGGTTTGGTTTTGGTCCAGCTAATTGTTTGAATGTGTTGAATGTAATGCAGCATAAAACGAAAATAAACAGCTCCAGTGGGCCAGTTCGCCATGGGCGGATATGCCACACTAACTATATACATAACACAGCCTGCGGGGCGAGTTCTATTTAATTTGCGCACTCGTCGGGGCCCCAAAATCGAAATCGAAAAACAGCAACCGCGGCGGCAATCCAGTAAACAATCAGCGAGAAAAAGGACCCTGAATGGAAATGGAAATGGAAACGCTACTCAATCAGCAATAGTTGGCTGCCAGGACCAAGTCCTCCTTCCCCCCGCAATCAATAAAGGTAACACCCCATAATTTAATGCCCCAAATGTGTTGCGACTACATTTTGCGGTTGCTGGCCAAGGGAAAAAATACAAAGCCACCGTTCCACCGCCCCAACGCCCCAACGCCGGCGGCCCAAATGCACTCTAATAATAAATCGCAGAAATAACCATTTTATTGCCAGCGCTTGCGGTTTTCCCCTATTCCAGGTGCAGGTATGGGTCCAGGGTTCCCAGGCCCACAAACACACCTGTCTGCGCAGTGTTGCCACTCGATAGTCGCACTTTATGGCCAGCTGATAAGCATATTATTATTATTGCTGCTATTACGCACCACACAGTCCTGGCTTGAATTATTCCGTACGTGTGTGCGAGACCATATAGTGGCCATATATCTGGAGTCTGGGCCTCGATGGCTATGGGTACTCTTATTGTTGTAAGCCCACGCAGTCAGCGCAAATGTGTCGAAGCGAAATTTATTGCCGCCGACTCGTGCAACCGAAACCAGATGAGTTCCACCGGAAATTAGAGATGTGCGCGTGAGGGGTTTCTGTTTTTCCACTACCAGGATGTCATTAGAAAGCACAGAATGTCTTCTATTTTAAGAACAATTGTGCATGGAACTAGAGAAACCTTTGCATATTTTAAAGGCATTACAAGTATTACAGTACAAGTATTTTGCATGGCTAATTCCACCCGGAGTGCCATCTCTAGGACTGAGTGCTCCTGGCCATCTGTTAACTAATTCACATGCCAGGGCAGGAATGGCCAATGATTACATTTCACGTGCCATATGCATTGGCTAGTCGCAAACACTTGTGTCGCAAACACTGCGTATACATATATGTATATCTTTCATGTGGCGAGTTGTCGATTATTTTGCGCATTTTAGTTGCTATGCGAAATCACAATTCCCCAGCGAGTTGAAAAATGTTATTGGGATTTCTGTTGACAGTTTCGACTGCAAATTTTATGAATGTTCACTTTGGTTGATCCACTCCGCACAGAAGGGCCTTAAAAACCATACACTCGTCTGCATCCGAAATGCGAGTTAAATTTGATTTGTATATTTCAAGCATATGACAGAAATGGAATGAACAATGGATTTGAGGTTGCCAAAACAATGTACGTGTTTAATACGACCCACCTTTCATACACGACGCACGAATGTAGGCAACACTTTTTTAAACTCCCATACCATGTTTAAAGGCCACTTTACTTTTATTTGCCGCAGCCAGCGAAATGTGACAATAAAAATCTCATAAAAACGTATTACTTAGCTAGCATTCTCGCATACATACACTGGGAAATATGAGCTACTTCTTTGAGTAACAAATGCTTAAACTAACTTGTTGAGACCTAATATTTGGGAACCGTTTGTTAACCACGTATCCAATGATATTTAAATATAAAGTCTACTTAATTAGGGTTTGGTTTTTTCAATCGCGTTAAATGAGTACCCATACTCAAGAGAAACAACCCACTTCAGGCGTAAAAAAGCTTTATTTTAGCCATGATTCTTGAAGTGTATTGAAGTGTAAGGAGCAATCTTGCAACTGGCTTTATTCCTCAACTTTTCCCCAGCCAAAAATAGAAAGTAAAGAGGAGAAGAAAAGCGGGCTCAGTGGGCCGGCAACTTTTGCCTTGTGGCAGCTGCAGCTACTTCTCCCTCTGCCTGCCACTCGATGCGGCACGGCACACATCAAAAGTCTCCTGGCCTCTTTCGCCGGCAAGTTGGAAAAGCTGTCGCAGCGGCTAGAATCGACGCAGGTGTTATCATCGATACCGTTGACGATTGTTTCCTTTATGTGGACTGGCACTTCAGCCAGCCACGCTTTTCCCGCTCCCCCGCTTTTCCGCATTTTCCAGCTTTTCCTGCTGGCGCATTGCTGCGAAACGTGGCGACTTTTGCCAATTGAAACCCCGAGTAGATGTTGCTCCTGCCTGGCTCCTCCGCTTTTTGCGGCGTTGTTTTGCTCGCACTGCCTTTTTTAATTTGTCACTTGAATCAAAAGTTGCCAAAGTTGTCCCAGGCCGAAGCTGTGTAGCTCTGGGTTTTGGTTTGCTCTGCGCGTTGTTAGCCTGGTTTTTTCCACTGCTTCTTTGTTGCCGCTTCCTTTTTGCCCGCTTTAATTAAAGCCGGGAGCCGGAATTGCAGCATTAGCCAACTGCCGGAGCTTTAACATTGTATTCGGCGCCAATGTTGTGCAAAGTTGGCTGTGATTAATGAAAGGGTATGGCCAGAAATTAGGGAACAAGAGACTAGACATGAAAGGAGCAGCAAACAATGGAATGCACTGCAGAGGACTGCAATTATTTTAAGAACAGGACCGGACAAGAGTTGCTAAATAAGTTAGCATGTAATCACACATCATTCATTTAACTTATTTCTCCATCACTCCTCTTAGTGTATCTTGATCTGAGTTTAAAATATTTATTTTTAATACACTCCGCCCAATTTCGTAATCACTATCCGCACACAAAGAATGTGTAAAACAAAAGACCAGCCAGGCACACATTGTAAATTAACCTAAATCAGGCGTAAGCCGCTTGTCACACAGCGTTCTTAGGACATATTAAAAAGTCGGCAACATCGGTGTACATAAATATATATCTATATATCTATATCCTATAGCAGCCAGCATGAATACTATAATCTCCTCCACTCACGCTCCCGATTTCTCTGCCCCTTTCCAGATGATGTGCTATTCTCGCGCCGCGGCCGCATGGGACGCATTGTGAGTCCGCGTCACACGCTTCCGCCGAATACGACATGCACGTACCACTTTCACGGATATCCTGGTGACCTGATTTGGTTATCGTTCACCAGCTACAATCTGCAGATCCTGCAGCAGGCGATACACGACAACAATACGCTGGGACGGGTGAGTTGAGTCGAGTTTTGCTGAGCGTCTGTGCTTGCGCCACAAAGCGTTTAACCGAACGGATGTCGCGGGAGGGGGTGGAGGTGCACTGAGAGAAACTGTATCGCAATGAGTACGTAAGACCCAGTGCTGCTTGGACACATTTTTGAAGGAGTTGTAGTTAAAGAAGTCGGTCATCGATTAGGTTTCTGATTCCAGACATCGGAGAAAATCGGGGGAATTGAAAGGCATTCAATTATTTATTTATTTTTGATTATTGAAAAGTAATGTGCATTCTCAATAATCTAATTGTAATATTCCTTCTACATTAAATAATATTTGGCCAGTACTTTGACTATCATCCCTTGCCTGTCATTCGAAATTGACTAGAAATGAGACTTGTATCATATGTATTTCAGATTTATTTCAGACTAATCACAAAGTGATTGTAAGCAAGCATTTGGCGCAGTGTGGGGATTGTGCTCCCGTTATAGTTAACCGTTTACATAAATGCATAAAATTTATGCCCGGGGTGGAACTGGAAAAGGTGGGTGGATGTGGGCCGAAGTGGGTGGCTGCCGCGTGCATTGTCTCTTAAATGCACTGCGTCCACGCCAGCGGCGTCTCCTCCATTTGCCATTGTCTTGGACTCCCCTACGCCCCACCCATGGCTCCAGATCCCCCACATGTCTTGCTATTAGTGCCAGTCGGTCGACACTTTGTCTCTGCTGGCCAATTAAAAATGCAGCCATTGAAATGCGCCGTATGAAATGTATAATTAAGTGAAAGCTTACGCAACTCCTAACGAGACATTTTTGAGTCTGTAGTCTGCCCGCCAGCAGTGGCAGCTGCGTCAAAATGCGGCACAGCCAAGAAACACAAGTGTCCATAATAATGTGCTGCCACCTCTTTTTCCATGGCAGCGAAAACAAATTGATATGAATGGGAAAGTTTCAGTGCATTACCGTCCTGAAAACACAAAGGTTATAAGTGCATTTGCATGCAGTTGCTACTGTGCAACCTACTAAACTGTAGTATTCTGAATACATGCAACTTGGTGCCGATTTTTCTTAGTGCGCTCGTCACACTGGTGTGTGCATTTTAAATGTTCGTTGTCGCCTGCCTAACGGCCCGTGAATTGTGTCAAGGTAGAACGTTGAGTTCGCCTGGGCGAACTGCGCTTAATGTCGGGTCAGCGGGTCCTCAAAGGATGAAAGGTGCCCCCTGTCCCCAGATAACTGAATGGTCATTTGGGCTGGGCCACGCGAAAGTGCATTCGAGTTGCAGCTGGAGAGTCCGCGCAAGTTGCCCCAATTTACATTAAAGTGCGGTGATTCCTGCGCAAGGCAGCTCCTAGCAGTGAATCATACATAAATCTCTCTATCTTTATAAGAAACTGATCCTTGATAGAGCATAAAGAGTGCTCATAGTCGCTGCTAGTGTAAGCTATCTTTATTGTAATAAATCCTTAAGGTATTGCTAATCAATATTTGTATTTTATATTAAATATTTTTGTTTTGGAATTTCGATATTTTAATGCTGCCCAACGTTTTTCGTATTGCCCTTGCAAAGGTATACGCACTTAACTTTAAAAGCCGCAATCTCTAAGCGCAATCCGCTGTCAACTTGCAAAGCTGCTTGTCAAAGTGCTCGAAACTGCCCAGCATTTCAGCCAAGTTAGTTCAGCGGGCCAAAGATCACAGCATTGAAATAATGGAAGGTGAAATGGAATGATATGGGGACATGTCAACGCTTTGCGCGGTCTCATAAATGTCGTCGCATTACAAGTATTACCAGCATTGCTCCACAGCCACTCCAATCATTCCCGTTTCCATTCCCATTTCCATTCCCACTCCCATTTCCACTTCCATTGTATTTTTTATTTCGCCGGCGAGTTTTAACTTTGGTTCTTAATTTAAAAAGTTTGTTTTGCCTCGGTTTCTCTTGTGTGCCCGTGCTTGTACTTTTTCATTTGTTCCTTTTTATTTTAGAAAATTCACATTCACTTGTTTGTGAGCTTGTCGTTATCCCCGCCCACGTTCCAGTGACTTCAGTCCGCAGTACCTGCTGTTTTTGTTTGTGTCACTTTGCCTCGCTGTTACAAAATTCATGAACTGTTTTTGCCGATTCCATTCCCGTACTCCCACTGCCACTCCCACTCCACCGCCCACTCCGCCCGTCGGAGTCGCCCGTTCTGTGTTTTATTTTACACATATTTCTGTCCTGTCACTTTTTATTGTACTCCCGTTTGTAGCCGCTTAAGAGGGCGAGATGAATGCACTGAGAAAAATGTCGGTCTGCAAGACCTCGACAGAACAAAAATTAGGGAAACTATCATTTCAATGATTCGATTCAATAGTATTACATGCATTTAAAGAGTACTATTTATTTGCTCGACACACATTCTATTCGAATCTGAGGATACCGAATTTGTATAAAATATCGATTAAATTGAATGTAAAAAATTTACAAATAATACTGAAATTCGAGTTTTCGAACAAGCTTAACACCTTGCAGGATTGTTAAATATTTTACTTAAAGATCATACATATATCTTTTTTTACCCGCTCGACCGCATGAAATACCATTTACTATCTACCCATTATTCTCGGTGCACGGTGGGCGGTGGGGGCGTGGTAGGTGTTACTGCAAAGTTATTTTGCTTTATTTCGCTGCTGCCCCTCGATATATTTCCCCCCGTTTTTTGTTTATTTGTGTGCTGGCAGCTTTTCATTTTTCGCAATTTAAAGTGTAGGTGAGGCAACTGCAATTGACACGGACAGAGGAGCATCCTGCGGGGGGCGTGGCCCAAATACGGAAGAGACAATTGTGTGGGTGTTGGCTGAGAGTTCAGTCACCATTTATCTGCTCTCTCTGCGCTTTTCCAATGGGCTTGGCCAAATTAATTGGCACACAGTTTTACAAACGCTGGCTGAGTGTGTCTTCCAAAAATAAATTAGGAGCCCCTGCTTCACGTGATATGCGTCTAGACAGAGAACGACCTTGGGAGTATGAAAAGCGGCTGGCAATTTATCTGATTAGACAGGTGAAATGTTTCCAGAGTTCCTGCGTCCCTGGCAAATGCCTTGGAGAAATTGTGAAAGCAATCAAGGAGCCGCATGTGTAGTATATTTTATTGATGTGGTTGCCTCCGGAATTTAATGAATTCGGAAAATGTTGGTAGTCGTAGCATTCTAGGAATTTATATAAGGAACATTCTCCCAATGTTTGTGACTGAAATGAATATGATAAATATAGGAGTCTTGAATATAAAATAAAGGTTGTGTTTTTGGTGATAAAATGTGCAGCGTACTTATAGCCCCATTTAAAATTGTGTTTAAGTCTCAGTAGTTGTTTTTATTTGCCACACCCACTGCGTGGACTTTAATTTCAGGGATTCATTTAACAGAATAAGGCGCACAAATGTTGCTGTTGCATCTGCAAGCAAATCAACTAAATGAAACGAACAGAGGCAGCGGGCTTAAACGCCTGTCAGTTAGTTTCTGGGCCGACACTTCGAGCCATGACATCGTCCTGGTCCGGAGTCTGTTACTTCAGTTCAGTTTCTTCAGCCAAGCCGCAGCTGTTTGCAACTGTCTTTTTCATTATTAACACAGTCAACAATAATCAGGGCCTAGGCGGAATGGAGCGGAATGGTGCGGAATGGTGGGGGAAAACATAAACATTGTCAGCCAGGAGGCGTCTAGGAAAAATATTTAATGCCTGCAAACAACAACAAGGAGACTGCGAGGAATGCAAAGACTGCGACTACAACTACGCAGCCGACGAGTGTGGAGCCTTTCTACTGGGGACAGTGACAAACGACAAATAACTCACACTTGCAACTGTTTGAATATGACATGTGACAAACGGGGGCGCGCGGCAAACTAACGAGGAAAAGCAACAGAGAGCCACAGGGAAAGCGTGAAAAACGCGTGGGATGACACACACTCAAAAACACTCGTAACACTCATTGGATATTTAGCAGATATATTTAGCAGTTATTCGCAATGGAAGAGCAGAAGTTTAGTTTTCTTAGGACAAGCACAATTCCGAAATTCTTTAAGCCTTACACGATTCAAGGTACTTTCTCTCAGTGCACGCACAAATAATGTCAGCAAAAGAATTAAGCAATAACATGTGTTCCAATTGTCTTTCTGCAGAGCGATCTGCCGCCGTGGATAACGCGCCTGAGGATGTGGGACAGCTATGGTACGTATGTGCCCATGAAATCGACAAGTTCCACCACCGGCCAGCCGCCCCCTCCACCGCCCGTCGCCTCCTCGGCGGACGGGGGCAAGCCCACCCTCTTGAACCAGAGCAACTACGGCAGCTACTACTACAGCGCCAGCAATCCGAAGCTGAACCGGAACCTGCGGGTGAACATCGACAACGCCTGGAATCCGGTGGACACCTACATCTACGGCCCCACGCAGTCGAGTGTCTTCAACCAGGAGAACAAGTACAGCGGCTACCAGGGAGGCGGGCCTGGCGGAGCATCCACCAGCTCCACTGGCTCCGGTAAGCCCCTTTCCGGGGTCAAGGACAGCCTCAACTACATTTCCAGCGGCAAGTCCTCCAAGGAGGTCTCCGCAGCCGCGGTCGTCAGCTCGGACCGAAACAGCGCAGTGGCGCTGATGAGCACCAAGGGGAAGCGACGACTCATGCTGGAGATCTACGACTACGAAACGCCGAAGCTGTGCGATCACACTGCCATCGGAAGTGGAGTGAGCGGAAGTAGTGCCGTGATGGGCGGCAATAAGCAGAGGCCCTGCAGTCCGCTGGAGAGCTACGTGAGCACCGGAAGGGATTTGGTAAGTAAATCAAACACACTACTTGGGTAAATGCCCAAAGGTCGAATAAGTACTGGAACTACAGCTTTTCTTATGCATATGCTATGACTGCAAGCAGGCATAAAAGAAAATGCTTAGAAAAGACTTCCACTTTAGCGTTTAAAGGTTGAGTCAGGTGTTTCTTGGAATATACCCTCGTTTAATATGCTTAGAATCCAGATATCAATTTTAGTATCCTGCTAAATTGCTTCTTTTTCCTAGAAGACCTCTGACTGGCTCACTTCCGGCTGCCATTAGATAGTTGCGCTGCCTAAAAGTAGGCAATACTTTATGCTCGCCGACGGCAGACCAATCGAAACAGTAGCCTACCTTTGGGCTGTCTTGGGCATCACAACGAAGTCGGGAGAATTATAACTTAACGAAGGACTTTTCTAATTTGTCAGCTGCCACTGTTTGTTTTCTTTGTTCTGGCCGGGGCTTAAAAAATAAAATAAAAATCAGGCAGTGGGGGAACACGACTTTGTGACTGCACCTTGGCTGCCGGGCGAGCACCGAGTGTAGAGTGTAGAGTGCCGAGTGCCCAATTTGGCACGCCCAAGGGCCCTCACAAATAAATAAAACGCAGCTGGAGAACTGGAGAGCTGCAAACTGGGAGCCGGAAGCTGGGAATTTTTTGGCAGAGTGCAGAGCGATTCGTGTTTGCTTTAAACTTGACAAAATTAATCAAATTAAACACTCGACTGCATCGCCAGACGTGCACAAATAACCAAGGAGCAGAGCGAATTTCCCAGGGGCGGCGCCAAATTCAAATTCGCCAAAGCCCCCCCCACACACACACACGCACACAATACAGAGGCAAACGGGGGGCGGAAAGTGGGCGTTGGCGTGGCCGTGGGCGGGAAAGCGGGCGGCATTGGCGGCATTGACAGCATTGACGGCATGCACGGACAAACAGACAACCGCAATAAGCTTGCTTAGCCTTTTTGACGTCGCTCCTCGTTGACAAATATGAACTGCAAATATTGTGATGCCGAATTCCGCGCTCGCAGTGCATTCATAGAGAACTTTTCGAAATATCCAAAGGCTCCCTTAAATTATGTACATATGTGCACTTTGTGGCGCTGTCGACATTAAATAGTTTCTAAAACTAAATTAAACATGGCACAGTTATTTCCTTTGTAAGCGGAATGTTCATGTAAGTTAAATATTATGAAAAGTGTGGAACAACTCGGTTCTATAACAATTTTCATCAGTACTTTCATGAGTTTTCACAGCCCTTTTAGGGATACACCGATTTAGAAAGCTTGTAAATACTTTCTGAGCTTTACAAATGTTAAGAGATGCAAAAGATCCATGCTGTAGTTATTTAAAAATACCATTATTGTAATCCCATGCAAGGCAACTATTTTTTACAGTATTGCAACTCTCTTATTACCAATTTCCCCTTTCAGAAACTGGAGTTCCACACGCACACGGGCACCGCCTTATTCCCAGCACAGTTTGCGCTGAACTACGAGTTTGTGGACACGGAGCAGGGTGGCGAGACCTGGGCGGGAAGACGTGGAGAGGATCCGGTGCCGCCACTCTGCTCGAGAATTTTCAAGAAGCGCAAGGGCAACATCCAGGTTCCCAGGAATGTGTTCCTTTACGGACGAGGTGGAGCCAAGAACATCACCTGCTTGTACCGCTTTGAGGCGGGTCCTTCGGAGAGGGTGAAGCTGGTGCTGCACAACGTGTCCTTTGGAGAAGGTACAGCCTGCACTACGGACTCGGATCTGCATACAGGCAGACCTCGCTGCAATCAACTGGATCCCGAGGGCCGCATCACGGAGCTGCGACTGTTCGATGTTCCATTTAGGGACGTGAAAATCCAGCTGGGCTGCTTCTGCGATAACTCCAGTGCCTTGTACAGCAACGCACCGCTTACCTTCGTTTCCCATTCGAGGATAATGGAGCTCTCCTTCACGGTCACAAGATTGAATATATCGGAGGACTTTGCGGATGTATTCTTCTCCGCTTCCTACGAATTCAAGAGGCAACCGGACTGCAGAAAGCAGTTGAAACTTAAAGGAGCCGGAGGGGAGGACGAACTCAAGTATCCTTTAAAGACTCAGGACGCCAGTTGCGAAGGCCTGGCCTGGTACATCGAAGCCCAATCGGCCGAGAGGTCGCTCTTCGTGCAGACCTGGGGTGCCTATCTGCCCGTGGATCCCACCTCCGAGGACGCCATGCGATGCCACACCAAGAACCGCCTGATGATATACTCCGGACGACCCCTGCGACCCATGAGGGTGGTGTGCCCGGCCCAAAGTGGTCCGCGGCCAATGTCGCTGCACATCTTCTCCGAGGACTGGACCAATGGCCAGCCCTTGTTCATGAACAAGTAAGTGGAAGAGCTGGCTGAAAATAATACATAAATTCCTCTTTGAATATACATTTAATTTTAAAAATATAGGTTTTTGCAGTTTTTTGTTTAATTTTTATGCGTGGGTTGAATTTTACAAGAGACATAAATAACTAATAGGAAACCAGCAGCGATAGACCCCATTGAATAATATTGTGCCGTCTGTACCTAGCTTTATTTATTTGCTGGTAGAGAAGACTGAAATATTTACAATTTCACGCTCTGGTGTCGCCCAACAAGTCTGCCGGACCAATTACCCATTCCCCGAAAAAAATTCACAAATATTCCGGGAACACATAAAGAAGGAACAGGACTTGAAAACATTCGTGCCTAATGACGCATGGACTCCTTGCCATTATGAAGAGCATGTGAGTTAGTCCACTCGAGCAACTGAGCACTACACAAAAAGCCTCTTAGGTCGAGTATTTTGGGAATTTTTCACTCAAAATTAATTGCATTTTAATAGTAGCTAGTATTTCAAAAAACTTGTGCGCTTATTTGCACCGGTAGCAGGCTTCTCAGGCTCGTCGTTCTGCTCCCCAAAGCTCCATCAAAAAGTCCTGCTTAAAAATGCAATAACAGGAAATGGCTACGACGGCAACAAAATACAGGAAATTGAGCGCAAAGAAATATGCTGTATAAGAGATGAAAAAATGAAAACGCAAACGAGACGAAGTCCAGGCAAACAAACATGGCCGTCAGACATGGACATATGTGTACAGCTGCGGTTAACTAATTAGGAGATTTAAATTCAAATACACAAGTTTTCAAAGTGCAGGATTCTATTTATTTATTTAAGATAAATATTAAATATAGAAATATAATACTTTTAGAAAGTACGTTATGCATACTGAGGTAAAAATAGCAAAACAGCTATAATGAATAAAACAAGTTAATAACGAAGTACAGAGCAAATGAACTTGAATGAACGTCTCTATAAAATGGCAACTCGATGCAAGGCAACACAGCTTGAAATACTTTCCGTTTTTTAGTTATATTATTATTTTTTAAAATGCCACTAGAATCGCCACCCCTGCTGTGCGCCTGAGGCATGCAAAACGAGCATGAGGCGAAGACAGGTGGAGAGGTGGCGCTACGGGTAAGAGCCTTTTGCCCGCTGGAAGTTGGCCGTATGTGCTCCGGCAATTTATGTCCAAGGTGCGTGCCACCGAAATGAACCGGTGAACCTGGACGTTACGCTCGTTTCTTGGGGAGAGTCCTGCAATTGACCAACCTGTGTCCCTTTTGCTGGTTCTGCGCTTAACGTGTTGCCATTAAATTTTATGGTCAGCCTTCCTCCCTTCCTCCCTTTGTCCGTGTTTGCATTTTGCTCAATTTTGTCGCCGCAGAACATAAAAAAGGAGTCAGGATGGGCGGAAAAGAAGCGAAGGAATATTGCACTGCGGACGACATGTGAAAACATATTTTTATGGCACCCCAAAGGGTAATTGGACATTGCACGGGATATCCTGGCTGGCTAATGAGTGTGTTGAGCCTTTTTAGATAATTAATTGAGAGCTTTTCAAATCATCTGTGAATTATAATGGCCACACAATGAGGCAACGAAATGAAGTGTGATTGCACTAAAGAGCATGAATTCAAAGAGATTAATTCAAACAGAGTTAGCGTCGGAGTAAATCCAAGACACATCATTGAAATATCCTTTCAAGATGGTTATAGTATAATTTGTATAATTCGGGAATATTTGTTTCATTGGCTTGAAGTGAAGCCAATTGTGCCGCACTTCATCCAACGAAACTTTGACGGCTAACTCGCTTAATGCGCGGCTTAAGCCAAACTACGAGTAAGACATATTGTCTGTGCCAACTTGAAAGTGCGAGTAATTAGTGGCACTTGAGCAACTACTAGGCTGTGGTGATGCGAACATGCGAAAGGACACATCCAGATACATAGCTGGATGCTCCAAAAGTTGTGCAGAGCGTGGCAGTCAGGCGGGAAAATTCAGGGTTTAAGTACCTTAGCCTACCTTCTTCTTTCATCCGTTTAAAATGTAGTAAATTTATTTATTTAAAATACTCATTCAATATTATTAATATCCAATTATTAGATTTTGAGAATTGCAAATATTTAGAAAACATCTTATGTCAATTTGTTATTTTTTTAGCTTTATGAATATTTATTACCTTATGAAAGGGCGCTTGTTTAAGGCCACTTTTTGACAATCCTGTTCCTCAAATCCCTTTCCAGACCAATCAGCCTGGTGCTGGAGCCAATCCTGAAGGAGCCCGGCGACATCTCCTTCACGTGGCTCGAGATCCACCGCACCAAGAACGCGCTCCTCCAGCAGTTGGACCTGCATGTGAACGCGAGCGTGACCACGGGCATGGGCTCCCAGACCTCCTCCCAATCCGCAGCGGGCTCCAACACGGGGATTGGGGGGCTGGGCACCAGTGGGTCAGGATCTGCAGCCAACGCCGGAGGCTCTGCAGGCGGAGCAACGGCCAACGAGACGCTGAACGAGTTCGGCTTCTTTCCCAAGGATTCCGACTGCGAATACAAATGTCCTGAAATTGATGCATGCATTGCGGCCAGCCTGTGGTGCGATGGTAAGTACAGATTGCCGGTCGAGGCCACAGGCCATTTCTCAGGGAGTTGCTGAATGTGGTTGCCCATGGAACCACTGCATGCAAAACAGTTCGTGGAAGTCGACGTGGCCAAGAAACTTTCGTGTGTTTATCAATTTGGGTCAATGGGCAAATACCTAACATAGGAGTTGCCATGCCAGGAACGTGAATTATTGAATGGCGTGCGAACTCTTACCTCAAATTCAATAATCTGCTTCTAATAATATAAGTCTTGGGCGAATTAATAGCGCCTAAGGACCTTAGTTATGCCTGGTCCCAAGGATTCCACTCTGGCAAGTTTCATATCATCGGAAGAGGCCGGGATCTCTGTCCCGTCCTGGGGCCCTGCACTATTTGTACGTGATTTGGCGCTGAGCCCTGTGCTCCGGGCTATCCATTTGCAGCGTGCCGCCGGCAGGGAGCAACCAAAAATTTCACTTGTGGCTGGCTTGTCTGTTAATTTCAAAGCGGGCTGTCCACGTCCTTGTAATCAGGCAAAGTTTCCCGACTGCTGCACCAGGCTGCACTGCACCACTCCTGCTGGTTGTCGGTTGCTAGTTGTTAGTTGCTCCGTTGGGCGGTTGTCGTTGTCGGCGGTTGCTGGTTGCTGGTTGTTGGCGATTGTTGGCCGACTGGCGGGATGGCTGGTTGTTGGACAAACCCGCAGCAGCCAAACCCCGAAATGTCTTGCAGAAAAAGTTTATGCCAGTCCGGCACCAGGCCAACACAAAATGGCCGCAACAGCTGGGCGGACTTATTTTCAATGCACTTGCGAGCTGAAGGCCGGAAAACACAGATGGAATGTGGGAAAGTGTATAGACTAGGTAATACCGCGCATTTTTCTTGACTTGTGATTAATGTCATATATTCTCCTCCAATTTAGGTAATAAATTCTTTGTGCCAAATATAAGTTAAAGACTAAAAGTATAAAATTGCACTGATTTTCCTGCACTCTACTTACACTCCAGAAGCCGTACAGACTCTTTAAAGTTTGCGCCCAGGGAAAGATACAAAAAATACAAAGGCTAGCCTGGGCTTTGCCTTTTAGCTTCAATTATTTATGGGCAGCCAGGCGCGCCTGCATCTGGAGCTGGTTAACCGCAAATCCAGGGCATTAAGCAAGCTCTCGGACCCCAAGGGCCACTCGAGTGACACTGCATTCAATTTGTAACCCTAGAATAGGCCACCCAGCTGCGCTGCTCCTCCCAAAACCCAATCTGCTTTCAATTTTTCAATCAGCGCCTGTACCTCTATCTCGGTACTGAATCTGTTCTTACACTGGGAAAAGAGACTTTTCAACTATTCCGTTCGCCATATCGATTTGAAACTAAATAGTATATGCAAATATAGAAAAAAGGTAGAACATGAAAAGGGAAAGATATCTTACCTCCACCTGAACACCGCAACTGAATCTTTTAAAATATAACTCAACTACCAACAAGGCCAATACTTTTTGTGTTTGGCTTCAAGATGAGCTTATGGACTAGAAGTGAAGGTATTTTCTAAAAGTGTCCTCGTAATCTCTCCTTTTCAGGCCACCACAACTGTCCCAGCGGGTTCGATGAGTCGGAGGAGGAGTGCGGCACCGCTCGCAAGTTGCTGGAACTGCCGGGCGGAGTTTTCGCCGCTCTTGGATGCATTGCAGCAGCCCTGACCGCCTGCCTGATATTCTGCATGTTCGGGCTGATGAGGAAGCGGAAAAAGTCGGTGGTGCAGAAGGGCGCCGGAGTGGGCGGCATGGGCGGCATGGGCGGAATGGGCGTGGGCGGGATGGGCGTGGGCATCGGGTTCATGAACGGAGCCAGCAACGGCAACGTGTCAGCCGCCAGCATCGGCACCCTGAAGAAGGACTTCAAGAAGGAGGCGCTGTACATCGATCCGGCCTCCTGACACGGACTACAGCCGGTCGAATATATCCACGTGGACCGGGAGACCACCGTGTGATATGTTGCCGCCGGCTGTGGCATCCCCTATGATCATGTGGAGCTTTCCATGGAGCTGGCCTGACCGATGGATCAGTCCGCTGATCCCGTTCAAAATCTGGCCTGGAGATTTTAAAGATACAGAGTCGTCGCCTGGAGGTATGAGAACACTAAATGAAACTACATTTTAAGCCGATAACTTTTTCTAAACGCTTCTGGGAGGAACAAAATGCGCATTAGCGAACTTGTGTGTATGTAGTCATAAGGAAAATAGTGGTATTGAGTTAATTATGTTTTTTATTGTGTATTTATTGTTTCTTTTTAATCTAAATAATTAAAAAAACATTGAAGGAGTCAGGACTGGGCACTGTATGAACTTATTTAAGGCATAACTTTGCAGAGAGGGTTTTTAAGTTTTGACATAAACTAAATTCAAAAACATCGAACTTTATGTTTGAATCTTTCAATATCAGAAAATGAACTTTTGAATTCAAGCTAAAAATCTTTATAATTGCATACATCAGAGGTTTCCAAATTAAAATCAAGAAGTACATGTTACACCGATAATAAAAATAGAAAAGTCCAATCATAAGGAGCATGCATATTAAACAATAAAGTCGCACACAACTTTTAAAAACTTAAAATGTTCGAGTAATATGAATTTACTTATCGACATATGGTAGCCCGTCTGGACCTTTACAAAATTATTTCAATTCCATTAAGAAAGTTAACAACCCTTTATTTCATAAGACTACATACGCAGCACAAGGGAAATACAACTATTGTAAATTAGGTACCTTTAAACCAGTTAGATCAGCTAGAGAGCAACAATTCGTGGGCGGTTCGTAGATGACTTCGGCATATTTACCACATAGCACATAGCACCCATTAAAGGACATTTAGCAACTAAATGGAAGATCATGAATTACAATGAAATTGTACAGAAGAGCAACTCAAAGAGCAGATCCCTAAGCGTAGGGCCCATCTGGCATTATTTTTAAGCGTCTAGACTAGGCATAAATCTGTTAGCAGCATTTGGAAAGGAGTGGGGAAGGTCGAGGGTAATCTCTACAGTGTTGTGATCTACGGCATGCACATACTGAACTATGTTTAAACACTATGTTTAAAGTCGAAGCATTTACATGGCGAGTACTCACAACCGGAGGCGTATATTGTATAGGTACTAGCTAAATAGTCAACTAAGAGGGCAGCACTTTTCTGTTATTATCGTACAGCACAAACATAAGCAAAGGACATCACCTAGTGGTTTATTATATACAAGTCGAAACGGAAAGTTAATTAATGCAATTGTTATTAATGAATTAAGTAGAGCTCCAACCCAGAGATATGTTCACTGCACCTTAATCGAGAGAACTGCCAAAGGATTATTCAAAAAACAATCAATGTAAATATTTCTGTCGAGCAATTAGTTGGTTTGCGTCAGCATTTATGTTCGTACTTTGAACACAAACCGATTCCCCTAAGTAGCTGCAGTGAGTATATTCCTAAAGTTAATAGACTTTGTAAAAACTACATGCAAAGAATAATAATAACTGTATGCAAAACTACCATTTAGGACACGGCTCATAACCCATATAAACAATCAAACTTTTGGCAGTTGCAGTAGGATTAAGCAAACAACACCAAGAAGAAGCGAAAAAAGGACATTGGTACTTTATTTTATAGACACTGAACTAGGGCAAAAATTATAAAACTGAATACTGAGAGCAAAGCAAATACTGGGTGCAATGGGAATTTTAAAAATTTAAAAACCTCTGCCCATGCAGGCAGAGTCCACATCCATAAAAACCCATTAAAATTTCAACTGCAATCAAACTTTGCCGAAAACCAAGTGTATAAAAAATATATGATTTAGCCAGCATAAAAAGTAAATGGAGATATATACATAAATTAAATCAAATATTTTCGGTTGGCATTTTTTGATAGCAAATAACCTAAATATTTATAGATAAAAAGAAAGCAAAATTAACAAAACGCACTTTGTACAATTTAATAAAAAACGAGGAGTTATTATTTCCCGACACAGCATAGCATACACATAGGATATTTTACACACATTCGAATAAGAAATAAAATAATACCGAAACATATATGAGAACGACAAGAAATTAAATGAATTAAAAACGGCGCATAGGCCAAAAATGCATTTTTACTGCCGCCAATTGAGAACATAACAAAAAACTAACACACGGCCGGCAGGGCATTTAAATAGGTAGCTTTAAGCCCAGCTGAAAATGCTGTAACTACTTCGTTGGCCACCATTGTCACTCACAAAAACTCACATCTCAATCATCAGTTCGGTTCAGTTCCTTCTCTCAACCAAACCAAACTATGGAAATTTCTGTGCCAACTGTGTTTAAAGTAGGATTCAAAGGTAAAATACGAGTAAGAGAAGAGCAGGTGGAGAAATTGAATTATGACCGCACATAAAACATTGCATATAATTTATTTGAAATGTTCAAAAATAAAGTAGACGAAACGAGAAGAAACTGTGCGCGATGGTAAATAATAATAAAATACAGACAGCTGTGTAAATAGTCAAACTGCGTACAGTCTACGCATATTAATTAAAAACACAAAAGGTGACCCAATGAGACGGAGTTTGGAAAACGAGATCATGTCTTATGTTCGATTTCTGAATTCAGCCGACTACCATCTTTCCTTTCCTTTACTTTTATTTTCTTTTCTTTTCGCCGTTTGATAGCGTAAGTTTCACTTGTATGATAAATAAAACTAAACCAAATATTTATATAGAGATATTATACGTATATGAAAAGGAAACCTTAAGTTAATGACGCACTGAATCAAATAGATGAAACGAGTATTTAAAACCAAGACAATTGAAACCAAAAGGAACTTTAAGCAAAAATAAAACCGAAGAAAAAATGAAACCCAAACAGAGCACCTCTTACTATTAGTCGAAAATACAGCCGTGGGTGGGCGGGCGTTTGACTTGCTGGGGATTGGGGAATGGGGTGTTTTGCGGGTGTTTTGTGGGTGGAATGCCAACTGTTCCGTTTGACGCTTGGGGGAAAACCGTTGGCCAAACTAAGGCGGACTCAAATCGTGTCCAAATAGCTGGCAGTCAAGTAGGCCACAGATTTTGATTGCCCGCATCCGGGCAGCAATCGGTGGACATCCCCGAACAGCGAGCGAGATGCTGTTAAAGCCAAGCCGGCAGCTCCAGGCGTGTATTCTCACCGGTCGGAACTCGGATTGGCCGTGGGATCGGGTTTTTGGTATGGCCTTTCCGTGCACCCCGCCTCGCCCAGTGAACCCGCATAAAACATAAGCCACCGGCCTGGTGCTCGTGTGGTGTGTGCGCTATATGCCGCAGATTCATGCTCCTCCCTCGGATTCCCCAGTTCTGTGACTCCGTGCTTATGGCCGGCAGCTCTGTTTTTGGCCCTGGCAACTCTGGCCTGCGGACATACCCACAATGGCTTTGATAAGCGTGGGCGACAAAAGGCCAGGAAATCGCTAACGAGACGCGGCAAGGGGTTTTTGCAAGGAATTGAAGAGTGTTTGATATCAAGGTGAATAAAAAATGAAATTCTATTGCAGCACAACATAATATGAAAGTATTGCAACTATTCTTTTTCTTGGCTTAATTTCTCCTTTTTTTAATGTATTTTAAAGTTATATTCCCAAATTTGGGTGGTGCAATCTACCACTAAATTAATATGCCCATTTTTAAAGAGACTATAAAATATATTTTGAAAGTATTCAGTACAATATGTCATTTTATTTGTATTTATTAATTATATTTAATATTTGAATTGCATTTAATTAATGCTTAAGACTTAAAACTGCCTTTACACATTTAAGCGGATGTATTTAACAAGCCAACCAATTACCATCGAAAGCCTGGCTGCATCAAATACAATTCCGAGTACTGGGCCAATATATTATATACGCATACCAGCCACAAGCTCACACATGCAGCTATTTGTATTTGCACCTAGGGCCAATTGCAGTTGTTTACAATTGAGTTGGCCAGCTCAGCGCAATCGGCACAACCACAAAAGGACAGTTGGCAGCAAAAACCATATCAGCGGACTGAAGATACTCTTGTAGCCAACTTACTGTGAGCGACCACATTTGGACAGCAGATAAACTTAACATGAAAACCGTCAGCCAGAAACTCGCCAACTTTTGTTTTTAAATCGGAGAAAGAGTCTGATCATTCGATAGCTCAATTATCTCAGTCGATTCGGATAATCATGACATGCAATAGGCAACCACTTTGCATGTTTTATGCTGCTGATTTTCTTGGTGCTAATTGCAGAAATACCTTTAGTTGTTACCATACAAAAATAAGACATGTGCCTCCAACGCATTTCATTTAAATTTTATTTTTATATTTTGCCTGGTTTTATGTTGGGGTTGGCGTTTTTCCGTTTTTTGCCATTGTTATCGAGAAATTTACACGAATTTTCAACTTGTTGCTGAAATAAAAAAAGGTTTATAAGTCTAAACAATCAGTTTTTTGTCGGTCCTAAAAAGTGTGGACCTATGCAGATAGTTGTGGGCAAACGCTTTAGTACGACAGCCGTCTGACGCCAGTCAGTGGACAAGTCAGTTACAGTGAGAGTAAGAAGTTATGGCACCTGAAAGAGGTAATTTAAAGTAATATATTATATGACAAAACACGCCAAGTGAGGTTATTTATGCCAACGGCAAACATTTATTATTTGTTCAAGTAAATATATTATTTAAAATATATTATTATTTGTAACCATAAGAAATCCTACGTAATATATATTTTAAAGGTTTCTGCACTATCGTAAGTACTAATCGTACCTCAATTAAATTATTTAAATGTATAAGTAATCCGCTCAAGATTTCTTTGAGCCACTGTGCATAAGAGTCAACAGCTGAATAGAGGTCAATGAGCTTAGCTTTGTGGACAGCAAGTGCGGGATAGATGGAACCCAGCTCTTGTAGAATCTTTAGATTTGACTTTGGCAAAAATTAAACTTAGATCCAGAAGTTGGAAACCGAAAGAGGCGAGAAGCCAGAAATCGAGAAGAGTCTCTTATTATGTTCGAATGGCAAAAACTAATCGATGGAAATTACAAAAGCGGGAAGGTCAACTTTTCGACTGTCCATTTGGGGAGATAAGTTCAAAGGTAAACCTGTTTTTAATTCAAATTCTCTTCCCTATGAAAAATTTGAAAAGCTGTTAAAGTTCTTCTTTTGCCAACGTGGTTTGGATCGCAATCAACATGTTCTTTTACCAAAAAATACTATTAAGGTTGGAAAACCAGCTGATCCAATAAAGGATATTGAAACAAGTGCACAAAATTTAATTTCCAATCGCGGGGAATATAGACACTATGCTGTTTGGACGACCTAAATAAATACATATGTCTAAGTAGATTAATGTCAGATGTCGGGTAACAATAAAAATGTTGCCACAGACAAATGGGCTACAGTGACGTCCACAAAATCAGTCAGCCCGCGAACAAAGAGCGTCTAAAGAGCGAATAAACAGAGCTGAAGAGAGTCGAAGAAAATGGTAAAAGCAAACAGCGGTAAGCCGCCGCTGCCAACGTCTTAAAGTTGGCCAAAAAGGCGGCCAAGTGCCCCCAGGAACATTCAGTCAAGCCGCGATCGCCGAGCTCTACGGACGTCTATATCTCTAACTATTCGAGTCGTGAATCGGAGTGAATTCAAGTGCCGCCCGGAAAATTCTTTCGGCCAAGAAAGGTCTTCGAAAACTAAGTTCTCAAGCGATTGTGTTTTTGTGTAACTGACATTGGATGTCTCTGAACGCCGAGCGATCGTACAAAATGAAGCTGCGCGATGTGGAAAATGCCTTCAAATACCGGCGCATACCGTATCCCAAGCGGTAAGTGTGATCTCCACCCGAGAAAAAGGCGGCGGAGAAAAGATTTCTTTCACTCGAGAACGGAGTTCGTTTCAAAGAGGAAATGCAATTGAGTTCCAGTTTCAGTTTAATTGAAAACCGGTCATAATTGCCATTGAAAGGCCCGAGAATCGAGTTGGTATATCGAAGATTGCCCTCGCCTGAGCGCAAAAGATTACAAACACTCTGCTCTCGATTCTCCATAAAAAGCGCTTAACTTTCCGTTTTTCGCAGCTGGCTAAAAGTGATAGCGTTTCAGGGTCGTTGCATTTGATAAATGCAATTAAATAAAAACTCCAATTGCTGGCCAGAGCAGTTCAAACATTTTTGTTCGACTTTAAGTATTGCCAGCAAGTATATTAATTGCAGCACTTCTACACTTGGAGAAAATCGTGTGATGAAAATAATATGTTTGTGGTTCTTTCCTTTTATTTGGATCTTAACGATTTAGATCGGTTAGAGACCGCGACGGTTAGAGTCCACTGATAATATAAATAAAATATTATATAAAATCAAATCATTGATTATTAAGAAATTACGAAAGCTGAGCTAAGTTCTGTATCAAATCAAAATATGATCAACAATTTATAAATTTAATTATTATTAAATTAAATTTTCTTATTATACAATAAAAAAAAACTTTAAAAAAATGTTTTAATATTTGGAAAACTTCTAAAAAGCCAGATTATAAACTTAGTAAACTTTAGATTTAAATGTTTCAAACAACTTTTCTGTGTGCACTTGCGGCTAACGTTTTTTGAATCTCTGCTCTAGTTAAAAGCTACAATCTTGTTTCTATTTTTTATTGCGTTTTTTTTATTTTCAATTCTTGTCATAATTCATTTGATGTAGCAGCTTGGGGCCGCAGATGAAAAGGAGGAAAACCACAAAAGCCGAGCTCACTTAACTATTTCAAGTAGCCAAAAGAGCCGTGTCTTCCCACCGTCCATTCCTACCACTGCATTGTTTGGGCCTGCATTTTTCGGTGTTTGTTCTGGCCTTTTACAGAACCCAACTCGGCTCAGTTCGGCCCAAGTCAGCTCAGATAAAAGTTAAGAGCCCCGTCTTGACTGCCCGCTCATTAG